TTACGGTAGGAGGAACATTTCCCTAAAAACACTCTCAACCTTTTGCAGTTTCCTCTCTATGGACATAACATAATATATTATTCTGGGCAGCTCAATCTGTTCTAGGATAAGGACCATTGTGTTTCTGACTGAAGATTATGCAATGTGTAGCAGCGCTGCCTGGTACAATATCATCTTTTAGTACAGGCGTTTCTAGCAATTCCAGAACATCTCTCCAATGTCATAGCCTAAGTCCAATAACAGAGACTTGCCAATAGAATTAGACTGGGGCAAAACAAATCGAGACAGAGCTATATCAAGTAGACCGGATTGCTGCCAATATGGATTTGCATGCAACTCAACAGAATCAGCAGACACAAAATGGTGGAAATAATAGTCAATCTACCTTACTCCCTCTCTCCAAGCCAGGTGTGTGATTATATAGTCCTATGCAGGAAGACCGACTCACACAGCCTGAGGCATTTGATAAGTGAGCTAATCAAACAATGACACAGGTTCATCTCATTATGTTCTCCCCAGGTTGACCAAATGAGAGGTATAGAATCTCTGAATGGGCAATATCCAGGTGAGTTCCACAGATATAATACCTGCTCACTCTCTCTCTCTCTCTCTCTCTCTCTGTGTGTGTGTGTGTGTGTGTGTGTGTGTGTGTGTGTGTGTGTGTGTGTGTGTGTGTGTGTGTGTGTGTGTGTGTGTGTGTGTGTGTGTGTTTCGGGCGGGGGACACTGGTACACAGCTGAGCAAACGGGAGAAAGTGTTGGATATAACTCACTGACATACACACAAATACTTAAACAAACAGGAGACACTTGAAAAAGCCTGAACATAAAGACAGCGAAAACCCCTATAGAAAAGGGCACGTCATCCCCACAATCCTCTCATCCTCTCCTATCCTGGCTAACACATGCAATTATAAGCTCTAGTGGCCAATATGACTGATGTATTGTTTTGTGTCAATATTATTTGCGGTGCTAGCCTATAAGCTGAACTGGCGTTTGTGTGTGTGCGTGCGTAGATGTGTTTCGATTGCATTTGTACGGCTAGACAGGCTAGCGTTGGGAGGGAGTGTGTCCTGTGCACCAAGCAAGCTCTAGCTCCAGCTGTGGTGTGCTTTGAGGCAGAAATGACTGGAGGTGTGAACGCACAGCCAGGTGCTGACCCCTCTCACCCTCACACCTTCCCCCAGTCCACTTCCTCCCAGTTAATTAGGAGAGCCGGCGGGGGGGCGGGAGTCGGGAGGGGGGAGAGGAGGAGAGAGGAATGGGGGTTCCTGTGAAACAGCTGTAAAACCTGCCATTACTGCAGAGCCTGTCAGAGAGCAATAGGGGCCGGGCAGAATGAAGTTTGGAGAGGGCAGGGGTGTGGGGTGAGTGAGGATGATGATTTGGATGGGAGTGGCGGGAGGGAGGGGAGGGGAGTAATATCACATTGAAGCCATAATAAGACAATGGAGCTCAACTCAACTCACCTTCGCACTGCTTGCCGTCTCCCTTGTATCCTGGCTTGCAGATGCAGTTGAAGGATTTGGGGGTATTCTGGCAGAGAGCGTCAATGTGACAGTCATCTGTGGCTTCAGAGCACTCATCTGCATCTAGAGAAATGACACAACGGACAACTGTAAACCACTGGTCTCCAAGGACTCATCAATAGGACTAAGTCTATAAAATAGAGATTATTTTGGTGAGAGGTGAATGGGTTTTGTACAACCTCAATCGAATGTTTTAATCTTACTCTCTCAGGGAAAGCCCAGTCCTCTTAGCCAAATGCAGCTCTGTCCAGATATATACAGGCTATGTTTACTTGAAGTATTTACTTGAAGATGGCAAATGTCCAAAATGTAAAACTCCTTGTATAAGACAATAAACTGTCAGGGAGGGAGATAGTGGATGGAGGGTGAGGTTTCTTAACCCTATAAATGATACCAGTAGGTTATCTTGGACAACACTAAAGAGGACAAAACCAATAATAATTTATATTAATCAAATACCATTAGCAGAGAGGTACACAATTGTATCAGGGCTTAGTGGATGGCTCTGGAATACTGAGTGACTATAGGGAACCCTAATTGATCAAGTCATTGTTAGAGAGGCTAGTCACATCTGGGGCTGAATCCAGGGGCCTCAAGCCAGCTAATTACAGCTCATTCACACAGACAGCGAGAGAGAGAGGAGAGAGGAGGGAGAGGAGATGAGAGACGCGGAATCGAGGAGAGCGGGAGACGATGGAGAGGAGAAGGGGGGAAAGGATAGGAGACGAGAGAGAGTGGAGAGAGAGAGAGAGAGAGAGAGAGAGAGAGAGAGAGAGAGAGAGAGAGAGAGAGAGAGAGAGAGAGAGCGAGAGACCAAAAGAGTAAGAGAGAAAGTTTCATCTATCCAAAATGCTGTTATTTTTCTCTCTCTAGTGATGTATCCTGAGCTGAGAAGCAGCTACCCTGTCTCCTGTCTTGCCCCTCATGAATAGCCCATGTTGGGAGCCCTAAGACCAGCGTTTATTTCTCTGCAGGGTTAAGCCCTGCTGCCTGCCCCCCCCCCAGCTCAACAAAATGCAATAAATAAACAATAGAATGTCATTACAATAAATATTTTTTATGAAGCAGATGACTGATTTATTTGCTCCCATGTGAGTGCCAGTAGAAATGAAAAATAAAGTGATAGGAGTAGGCAGTGGGATATAGCCTGTAAAACCTGGACTTGATAGTTCAATTGCCAGTTCTCACTAAGTTTATGACAGAGAATAGATGTAAGGCAGGAAACTGTTATGGCAGGTTCACCATAAAACTATTAAAACATTCGCAAACTCAATTTAGTACAGGCCAAGTTGAAAGGACCTGGGTCAAAAATAATATTCTGGTTTATGAAATATCGTTGACTAATATTTAAACAAAGCCCTCTCCCGGGCTTCAGTGGCCGTCCCAATATTGACTTCTCGTCCATCCATAGTGGGAGGGAGACAATGCGCGCCACTATCCGCTGAAAGGTAGTCGATAAGCAGGTTGGGATGGACTCCTCCAGGGACCGTGAAGGCCACCTTCCCAACCCACGTCCATATGGACACCTCGGCGAATGCAACTGATCCGGAAAATATGCTCTGTATCAGCTCATAGGAGGAATTCGTTCAAGCAGAGGGGTGAAGAGATGCCTAGTCATATTTTTATCCACACATTAACCAGTCCAGGACCTACTTCACAGATTGATATACGACAGGTAGAACATTCAGATTGATATCAGTCGATGAATCTAATTTCTTGTAGACTCTTCTCACCTTTTTAACATTCAGAAAGGGCAATTTAACAGGGCGAAACAAATACTCAACTTTAAATAGTGTTTAGAGTAATATTGTCAATAAAAACGTGTATTTTATTGTCAGTCAAAAATTGGTTAAAATGGTTCAGCTCCGCAAGGGCAAATGTAAACGTTTTTGCAGCCTCTGAGATATTTCGCGCGCATATCACATCACCAATTCATAGCCTATTATAATTGCTAGATATGGCTTCAAATTTATATATTTCATTCACTGTTGTTGTGCAATATTGGTGTTCAGCTATTTCTCCTTTCCATACTGTTCAAATTTTGCCAGCCCAAATTATCCATCCTCAACCAAGTGTTTCTCAAAAGAACATGTTATCTCAACTGTTATCTCAGTCCACAAATACTATCCAATTAAAATAAATATAATCTCCATTAGCCTATGCATTAAAGAAACCCACTACGTTTCATCTATTCTACGCTGTCATACACTGCTTTAAACAGTTAAATAAAACATTAACAGGAAAAATAGGCAGCACTAGCCTATCTTAAAAAATATGTGTTAAAATTATATAAAAGACAGACAGGGAAAGAAAGAGAGCTCCTTACCTGCGAGTCCAACATTCCCCATCACCTCACAAGTATTTATGAGGACGAAAAACAAACAAACGTCCCAGGAAAAACAAGCACTTCCCATGGTAAAAGGGGGTGATTGAATGCAGTTTTTTGGTTGTGTTTTTCTTTGATAAGAGAACCGTTTTGGTACTGGCAGTGGCAGTAGAAGAGGACAGCGAGACTATCCGAGTCACTCTCAGCTCGCTGATTGGCTTGCACGCATTTGAAGAGCGGATTGGAGGTGTAGAGGAGGGAGAGAGAGAGAGAGAGAGAGAGAGGGGGGGAAATGGGTTGCTTTGGTTCAATTGATTACTCACCGCATGAGACCGCAACCAACCCAGAAAATCATCAAACTTGATCAATAAATGTTGTCAGATATTTCTCACAAGTGCGGGGCCAAATTGTCAGCGGAGGTCTCAATTGCCCATCATGGAACTCATGAATCATGATGATGTAGGCCTATTAATAAGGTTATACATCTTACATTTACATTTACATCATTTAGCAGACGCTCTTATCCAGAGCGACTTACAAATTGGTGCATTCAACTTATGATAGCCAGTGGGACAACCACTTTTTTTTTTTTATATATATATGGGGGTGGGGGAGAAGGATTACTTGTATACTATTCCAGGTATTCATTAAAGAGGTAGGGTTTCAAGTGTCTCCGGAAGGTGGTCAGTGACTCCGCTTCAAGTTACAATGGTGGTGAATAAAAGTGAGAAAAAATAACTCGGATGTACGTACGTTTGGATGTTTTTCAGATGCAGAATGATTGTCCCGCAGGCGCTTATTTCAATAGACTACATGCGTAGGCTAATGGGCAGTTTTGGGCCCTTCTTAGTTGGTTGTGGTGGGTAGGCATATTCTTGTCATTATTTGCTATGCAATGTAAATACTTTGAAATAAACTAAGTCACAAGAAGCATACATCTGAAGGGACCTACGTTATCTCTAAATATAATGCACGCAAGTGCAACTCATGCACGCTATTGGACTTGCCAGTCAAAGCGGGGTCCTTACACAGTGCTGAAGTTTGAATGTAGGGATACTGTCCTCTGCTGGTCTCGAGACACATTACATCAGTGCCCTGGTTTTGTCCCGCCCACCTGTCAGTGACAAAGGGCACCTTTTTGACCAATCACTGTGCGCAGAGCATGCTTCGCAAAGTGTCATGGCGTCTCCCTTGAAGGGGGCTTAGTCCTGTAAAATCTAGCGATTGGCAGTAGCGTCTTTCTTCTCTAAATAGGTCTGTTAAAAAACATTTTCTGATCAAAAGGGATATTTTTCAAGACAAAGACGTCACAATGGGGACTGTCCACGCCAGGGTAAATCTTAATTTCTTACAACCACGAGACGTGGGGATGAAATTCTGCATGACCTCCCCGTTCAGTGTCTATTGTATGGCGGTGTACTAGTATGGACGAACGCGTAGGCCTTGGACTAGGTACAGAAATGACATTAATGTCAAAGAGTTGTACGACATGAGGCAAATTGTTATTGAACTATATTTTATGTAATGTTAATGAATACTATGTAAATATAATGTTATGCAATATAGATTGTGTCTGGTCTGTCAGCATGCTAGCAAATTTACAGGTCCACCTTGACAAAACAAAGCTAGCTAGCTATCTAAGCATGATAAAATCGTCACATTATTTTTCCTCGTTCTCGACACTGTTCAGAGTATGGACCCTCTCCCGATGCACGGGCGTGACATGGGCGTTCATCCCGACGACATGATTGAGGTGCAGGAGGCAGAACAAGAGACTAAACAGGAGGTCCTGGAAAACAAAGACGTAAGCATCTCTTATCCAAGCTACTCAAATGACAAGTTGTTTGCCATCTCATTAGCAAAGGGAGCAGCGTAAATCATTGATCACCTAGTTGTAATGGATGCTGAGAACCGGACTATCTGCCCATTCATTGCAGGTTGTTGTCCAACATGTCAACATTGAGGGCTTGGGCAGAACTAAAGAGGATCTGCTGGGCTATGAAATCTCTGAGGTCTTCGATGCTAAAAACCTTATTGATGTAAGTATGAGCACTCTGGACTCCACATACATAAACATGCACACATAACCTACACACACACTCTGAAATGTTCCCTTGTCTAAGGTGAAACATCTATGCTAAAAGCTGTTTGTTGTGTCTTTGATAGGTCATGAAGAAGTCTCATATTGCCAGACAGAAACTGCTGCGTATGGGCATTTTCAAAGAGGTGGAGGTCGTCATTGATACATCAGATGGTACAGTGTGCACCCATAAACAGCTGTGTGTATGTGTGTGTGTGTCTGACACAATATCACGACCCATCTCAATCATGAGATGTTGCCAATATGAAAGGATAACCAGTAAATAGATAATTGTGTCACTGGAGAGGAGCCGTATGTTAGTCTACCTGTGCTCACAGTCTGTTTTGGTCTACCCCTCCCAGGTGCGGACGCGTTGCCCAATGGTCTGGACGTGACGTTCGAGGTGACAGAGATGAAGAGGCTGACGGGCAGTTATAACACCATGGTCGGCAACAACGAGGGCAGCATGGTGAGAGAATACACAGGCACACCACTCTCTCACACACACACATACAGTGAGGGAAAAAAGTATTTGATCCCCTGCTGATTTTGTACGTTTGTCCACTGACAAAGAAATGATCAGTCTATCATTTTAATGGTAGGTTTATTTTAACAGTGAGAGACAGAATAACAACAACAACAAATCCTGAAAAATGCATGTAAAAAATGTTATAAATTGATTTGCATTTTAATGAGGGAAATAAGTATTCGACCCCCTCTCAATCAGAAAGATTTCTGGCTCCCAGGTGTCTTTTATACAAGTAACGAGCTGAGATTAGGAGCACACTCTTAAAGGGAGTGCTCCTAATCTCAGCTTGTTACCTGTATAAAAGACACCTGTCCACAGAAGCAATCAATCAATCAGATTCCAAACTCTCCACCATGGCTAAGACCAAAGAGCTCTCCAAGGATGTCAGAGACAAGATTGTAGACCTACACAAGGCTGGAATGGGCTACAAGACCATCGCCAAGCAGCTTGGTGAGAAGGTGACAACAGTTGGTGCGATTATTTGCAAATGGAAGAAACACAAAATAACTGTCAATCTCCCTCGGCCTGGGGCTCCATGCATGATCTCACCTCGTGGTGTTGCAATGATCATGAGAACGGTGAGGAATCAGCCCAGAACTACACGGGAGGATCTTGTCAATGATCTCAAGGCAGCTGGGACCATAGTCACCAAGAAAACAATTGGTAACACACTACGCCGTGAAGGACTGAAATCCTACAGCGCCCGCAAGGTCCCCCTGCTCAAGAAAGCACATATACATGCCGTCTGAAGTTTGCCAATGAACATCTGAATGATTCAGAGGAGAACTGGGTGAAAGTGTTGTGGTCAGATGAGACCAAAATGGAGCTCTTTGGCATCAACTCAACTCACCGTGTTTGGAGGAGGAGGAATGCTGCCTATGACCCCAAGAACACCATCCCCACCGTCAAACATGGAGGTGGAAACGTTATGCTTTGGAGGTGTTTTTCTGCTAAGGGGACAGGACAACTTCACCGCATCAAAGGGACGATGGACGGGGCCATGTACCGTCAAATCTTGGGTGAGAACCTCCTTCCCTCAGCCAGGGCATTGAAAATGGGTCGTGGATGGGTATTCCAGCATGACAATGACCCAAAACACACGGCCAAGGCAACAAAGGAGTGGCTCAAGAAGAAGCACATTAAGGTCTTGGAGTGGCCTAGCCAGTCTCCAGACCTTAATCCCATAGAAAATCTGTGGAGGGAGCTGAAGGTTTGAGTTGCCAAACGTCAGCCTCAACCTTAATGACTTGGAGAATATCTGCAAAGAGGAGTGGGACAAAATCCCTCCTGAGATGTGTGTAAACCTGGTGGCCAACTACAAGAAACATCTGACCTCTGTGATTGCCAACAAGGGTTTTGCCACCAAGTACTAAGTCATGTTTTGCAGAGGGGTCAAATACTTATTTCCCTCATTAAAATGCAAATCAATTTATAACATTTTTGACATGTGTTTTTCTGGATTTGTTGTTATGCTGTCTCTCACTGTTCAAATAAACCTACCATTACAATTATAGACTGATCATTTCTTTGTCAGTGGGCAAACGTACAAAATCAGCAGGGGATCAAGTACTTTTTTCCCTCACTGTACTTACAAGAGCGCTATTACAAAGCATCACAAAATGTTCTTTGAAACCCCTGTCACAATGACCCAGGGATGACATTCCTAAATACAATCATGTGATATAGAGGTGATTTACAGAAGGTTTACAGACAGACAGGTTAAGCAGCTTCTCTGCCTCATTTTCACAGCAGACACTTCCAAATAGGTGCATAGTGTGGTAATGTACGTTCACAGACAGGTAGAACAGGTGTGTGACCCTGACCTGGGAGTAACGTTGCCTCGGTCTTCCAGGTGTTGGGTGTGAAGCTTCCTAACGTGTTTGGCCGTGCTGAGAAGTTAACCTTCCAGTTCTCCTACGGGACCAAGGAGACTTCCTACGGCCTGTCCTTCTTCAAGCCCCAGCCAGGCAACTTCGAACGCAAGTACGAACAGTGAACACCTTTGTCCTTGCTCTCTGTGTCAATAGAAAATTGAAATAGCACTTGCAGTGTAATGGCTGCCATTTTGTTTCAAGTTTGATTGTTTCTATCAGTGGTCATATTGACAGTATGTTATGTTGCCATGGTGATGTATTTATAACCTTTATGTAGAACATAGTTCAGTAATGAGACGGTCACTGTATGGATCATGGCCCTGACAGGTGTTGTCTTGTTGCAGCCTCACTCTAAACCTGTACAAAGTCACAGGCCAGTTTCCATGGAGCTCCCTGAAAGAGACAGACAGAGGTGTCTCCACTGAGCTCAACGTAAGAGGACTCCTACTGTGTGTGTTTGTGTGGGTCTGTGTGTGTCACATGTGTTGTTTTCATTTAATCTGCCTTGAATTTCCACAGGGATAACTGTCTCTCTCCATCTCTCCCTCCTCGCTCTCTCTCCTATAGTTTCCTCTGTGGAGGACCAACCACACTCTGAAGTGGGAGGGTGTGTGGAGGGAGCTGGGCTGTCTGGCACGCAGTGCCTCTTTCGCTGTGCGAGAAGAGAGCGGACACACCCTCAAGTCTGCCCTCTCGGTACAAAGCCCTTTGTCTCTCAGTTCCCTTTATCTAATGATCGTAACCCTTAATGATCTTAACTCTCAAAGTAGCAAGAATCTATCGGAGTCTGACCACTGATGGTTGTTGTCTTGCAGCACACCATGTCCATTGACACCAGGAACTCTGCCATCTTCCCCAAGAAAGGTGCGTTACTGAGGATCAACCAGGTATGTTTGTGTATGTGACTTCCTCTGCATAATACAACCACTGTAGATCTATATGAAGTGGCCATGCTGATGTGTGTTGTGTCTTGCCCTCTGTAGGAGCTGGCTGGCTATACAGGCGGAGACGCCAGCTTCCTGAAGGAGGACTTTGAGCTGCAGTTCAACAGACGGCTGGTCTGGGACTCGGTAAGGGAACACTACTCAGTCCCTAACCTGGGGGAATATCCAGGGCAAATAGGAAGTGATTTATGGGTACCTGAGTGTTCAACATTTCATATAACATGGCCCTGGTGGTCTCTTTTAGGTCCTCTCTGCCTCCCTCTGGGGTGGGTGTCTCCTCCCCATCGGAGGCAGACCGTCCTCCATCGCTGACAGGTAGGACCACTCAACAGAATAATGTCACATGGATTTGACAGAAATCGCTAGGTGGCGCTATGGAGTTAAAACTCATTCTGTGAAGTATTTATCCTCGAGTGTTTTAGGGGATGTTAGAGGACCTGTGGTCTGTGAGTGACATTTTTGTCATTGACATCTTTCTGTATTGTCCAGATTCTATCTGGGCGGTCCCACCAGTGTGCGAGGATTTGGAATGTACAGCATCGGCCCACAGAGCGAGGGTGAGGTCACATGCTCTCTATTTATTTGAATGGCCATGTGTGGTGCACAGGGTTGTGTCAGTTGCCAGGAGTCATGATGATAAAATGTAAGGGTTTACCTGTGTTACTGCAGGTGACTACCTGGGGGGAGAGGCGTACTGGGCAGGCGGGCTCCACCTGTACACTCCTCTGCCCTTCCGTCCGGGCCGGGGCGGCTTCGGAGACCTCTTCAGGACACACTTCTTCCTCAACGCTGGGAACCTGTGCAACCTCAACTATGGTGGGTACCTTGAACTCCATAGATAGTAGTCAATGTTGTGTTTTTCATTGCCCCCATTTAACTAATGATGATTTACATATACAGTACATACTGCAAATAAATGTTAAATTGTCTGTTTGTACATCTATGTGTGCATGCTGCCTCTTCTGTGCCTCCTCTTACGTGGAAGTGTTTTCCTGTCTCCAGGAGAAGGTCCAAGAGCACACCTACAGAAGCTGGCTGAGTGTATCCGCTGGTCGTATGGAGCAGGCCTCGTGTTGCGTCTTGGGAACATCGCCAGGCTGGAGCTCAACTACTGCATTCCCATGGGGGTTCAGAGTGGAGACAGGTACAACGCACACACACACACACACACACACACACTCGGGGAGTAGGTCAGACTCCGCTCCATTAGGCTGGGGCTTTATATAGCTCTCTAGAAAAAAGCCTGAGAGCAGACTCGCATACACTCACTCACAGAGATGGTAGAACAAGAGATGAGTTATTGCTGCAGTGCCATACAGCTCATTATATGCTGTAAATAAACAGACACAGGAGCCCTAACACCTAGCCATACACATACAGGTCCCAAACCTTTTCTTTGGCTTATCTTTCCCTCGTTTTCCTTTCCTCCCTCAGGATATGTGACGGCGTCCAGTTTGGAGCAGGAATCCGCTTCCTGTGATGTCTTCACTTTGCCGCCCGGGTCCAGCAGCAGAGAGCACGATGGGAAAGGGAGGAGAGCATTGTCACTTGTTATCCGTTGAGTTTAACACTAGCTGTGGGAACCTACCAGAATGCACGGTCCTGGAGGAGTGCCCCGCCCCCTTTTGATATTAACCAATGATATCACCCACTATGTTTGCTGTGTTACTTTTCCACCAACCAATTACGTTTCTGGCCAGACAGAGATTTGGGCATATTTTCTTTTTTTCATTTTAGTCATTTAGCAGACGCTCTTATCCAGAGCGACTTACAGGAGCAATTAGGGTTAAGTGCCTTGCTTAAGGGCACATCGAAAGTTTTTTCACATAGTCGGCTCGGGGATTAGAACCAGCGACCTTTCGGTTACTGGCACAACGCTCTTACCCACTAAGCTACCTGCCTTCCAGGACTGCTGCCTGCCCTATCCTTAGGGAAGTGACTATTGGTTTTTGTTCTAGATTTATTTTACCCTCTTAGAACTTTTGCCAACTGATTTGTCAATAGAATCCTGTACATGCCAAGATGTTGACGCAATTGAAGGGATTAAATTAAATGGGAGAACATATAACCAGCACTTTGTTTTGATGACAGAACTCACTTAGCCCACGGAAGGGAATTGACAACTCCTCATGTCAAAACAGTCGGTTCTGGTGTTTGACGGGAGAATTGAGAGTTGACTCCCCCTCTCCACAGCAGCCCCTGTGAATCTGAGGTGGGAACCCCAAGTGTGACCCACCACCAGTGCTCTTAATGTTAGTCCTCTTTTTAATGTTTTTAGTTAAGTTACACAATAAATCACATTTGTTCCCCTTAATCTTTTTTTGTGGTTTCTCATACAGACACACATTTGCAATACTTTATTCAGATCCAAAGTTGATCCAAAACACCCTCAGACCTGCATTAACGACAGCAGTTACAACACACACACAGGTGTGTCACATACAGGAGTGAGGCTACGTCTCACTGTAGCCAGTTTTATCAGCCTTCAGTTATTAATAGTCACACTATTGGTATTTAAGTCAACTCCTGATATATTCAATGGCTTGGGACTGCACCAACTGTCTACACTTAACTGCAGCATGCAGATTTCAGAAGCATGTACAATTGCAACTAGTGAACTTCACTGCATCGTCAACATTTGACTTGCATCATAATTATTACATAGATATAACATATCAACTATAATCTCATGGTAATCCATCTAGTTTGCTTGCACATCTCTCCATACTGAGAAGTAACCCTGTGGACCTTGGCATGGGGGAACCTGTGCCAGGCAGTTCAGTGTGGATGGGGGCAGAATAATATTTGATCAGAGCTCATTCACTATGGGAGTCACAGCAGCAGGTGTGTTCTCGCTGATATAGCTAGGCAACACAGCTCTAGAGTAGAGTACTGGTGCTTTCTAACAGTTGAGGTAAGCAGAACATTGAACCAACTGAGTCTGCCTACAATGGAAGATAGAAGATACTGTATGTTGAAATGGAGACTTATGATTGATTCTGCTTTACAGAAACTTGAATCTGAATTACAGAACAACAAATCACCTTCATACGGATACGATTGTCCTCACTCATCAGACATTAGACAGACAGTATGGATAATAAACAATACAAATGCATAATTCCTCATGTTGCACAATTTCCACACAGTAGAGGGCATAACTGTGGAGTGTTTAAAGCACCTTGTTGTGAATGTTTAGGGTTCCTTCCACTACTATCCAGAGAGAGCTGTCATGCTCTAGTTTTCCATCAGGGAGTTCAGCAGAGGTCAAAGTGTGTTTACACATCAGGTGGTTTACCTGAGATGGAACAGCCGTCCAGACCTGGGCCTGTAGTGAATGGATGAAATTAAATGAATGACTAAACAATCACAAAGTTACATATATATGGTCTGTGATGATACTGATGTGTGTGTGGTTTTGAACATTGAAATAAACTAATACTGATACTTTTGTATATAATGCACCAACCTAAAATAGTACATAATGGCTGCTATTTATATTAGATTACAATGTAATTACAATGTAATAGTAGCCTACTCGTCATAACCCATTCAAGAGGGGCGCAAGACGAAGGTTACGCGTTTTTTTTTTACATGAATGTCGATCAATGTTGCGTCCTCGTGTCGGAACCGGTTTCGTGGTCTTTTGATAAAAGGACATAGTAGCACGCACAATTAATGTCGAAAAGCTATTCTTACTATAACGCCAGGAAAAAAGTAATGGTTTACCCTTGGTAACAAATAAAACTGCGAAAGACTTGCTGTCAAACACACCGAAATTTGAAATATAGGCATGCCTCATTGAAGGAAGATTCGTGAGCGCGCACGTAGACGGTAGCTCGGGCACACGCCGGTTGTCGGGTCAAGCTGGCTGTGGCTAGCTCGGACCACTGTCACTGCGAGGCAGGTGTGTGTGTCAGCAGGAGCTCGCACACGTCCCCAGCCCACGTTGGACTAATTCTGTTATATTTTATTTGTGTTAATTAATACAGCCATCATGTTGTGGACAGCGAACCGAATCATTAGGAAAGTATCTACCAGCTCTGTAAGTAACATTGTTTATGTTGCATCCGTTATACCCTCTGTCTCCCCCCGCCCTCCCTCTGTCACTATGGAGAATCCGGATTGCTTGCCAGCTGATTCACACGATGTTGTCATTGTTGTTCTAATGCATGAATATATATCAGGTTAGAACTGAGTCATCTTCATATGTTACAATCAATGAATGATTCGGTCTCAGATCTGTGAATGTCTGGGTATGCACAGTGTACACTCACAGTAGCCTACAGTCTAATCAAAATATGATGCATCCTTGACAGTTCTCTTGTTTGATATCTGATATGCAGCATTATTAAAGTTATTACTATAAAGGCGAATTTATATTATGTACTATGTATTTGTATTCTAACAACCATACAAAGAAAGGCATGTCTTTGCCAATTGCCACGTTATGCACGCTGCCTCCATCGCTGCACGAATTACTTCCACTGGACAGTTCGCGGGGAGTTGCATCAGCTGAACGAGAGACCACAGAGCTGAGCAGAGCGGCTTAGCTCTATCCAGAAGTCCACATACCCGCAACGAACTGTCTATAATTCGACAGACATGGAAGTTACTGTCAGGATATTAGTAAGGAAAAGGGACTAATACGATATGGTTTTGTACTTGTACTTGTTGTGTGAACAACACCGGCGCCTCTCAAACTGCTACTGTAGTTGGTTACAATGTAACTGCAGAAATGTATCTCTTATCATAGGCGTTTTAGCCGGCTGATAGGTAGTCACTCAGTGCTGGAAAATTATAGCCTACCATGCCTGTCTGGATGTAAGCTTTCACAGGAGTTGTTTACATTAGGCTATAACAATTGTATAACACATTGTCATAACATGTATTATGTTATTATTACATTGTCTTAAAATGTATTACGTTGTTATTACACATGAACCTCTATAGTGTTTACTTTATTCATAGTCTATTTCGGCATAAGAAACTTGAAAGTTTCCATTTTCACATCAACTTCCAGACAGACGCTGATTGGAGTAGCTGCATCTTAACATACTTGAGCATGCATTCTAGTTGGAGGAGGGGTTTGTGCCCTCTGTAGCCAATAGCATTTCAGACCACTCTCTCTCCCAGAGAACCAAGATTGATTGCCCCTTGGGCCAGTCTGGCTGCCAGAAACTCCTAAAGAAAGCTTGGCAATGGAGAGGGAAAGAGTAGTGGAGAGGGAAAGAGTAGCTTAAATGCTTTTCAACGTTACAAAATGTCTATGTATACTCAACACGAGGGATGTTAGAAGTGAAACTGAATATTGGTCATGGACTTTGGTATGGTCCAAATGACATCTCTAGAAAGTTCCTCTCCATCAGTATTTGGTCATATTGGTTCAAAGCCTGAGGGGTATGGGGAAAATATATGTGTTTTGATCTTAAAGGCCACCAGAACATTATAAGCTATTCTCGTTATGTGTCAGAAAGAGTTTTTACCACTCTAACTCACATGCTCTTTCTTCTCTCCTGTCTCCTCCAGAATTATTACCAAAATAAGTTGAGACTGGCTCTGATTGGCCAGAGCCTGTTTGGACAGGAAGTGTACACCAACCTACGGAAGCAGGGCCATAAGGTGGTGGGCGTGTTCACTGTGCCAGATAAGGATGGCAAGGCAGACCCTCTGGGTAAGTATTGACACACTGGTGATGACTGGAGGGGGAGTCACTCTCTCTCTCTTCTCCATTCTTTCCTTCTCTTCCTTGGTCCCTCTTCCCCTCTTACTTTCCCTCTTCCTCATGCCCTCTTTTTTTTGGGGGGGACACAAGTTATCATGACTCAGTGAATGAATATTGCAGCAAAGCATTAGGGAAGTGTATGCTTACATCCTCACCAGAGCATGGCCACCTCTTCACATTGTTACCATCTGCATGGCCTCAGTCATGATCCAGTACGTCCTCTCCCAGACTCCCACGGTCTAACTGAGTTAGTGGAGTTTGTGTAAATGATTACTCCCAGTCACTTTTCTAAATGAGATGTAATGGCTTCAGTGGTGTCCCTGATGATCTGAGGCGGAAGCCCCTTTAGCCCTGGGTCTCTCTGGGTCAGGAGAGGACTGTCCCTGTCAGCGAGGGAGGTAGATCCGTGTTGACTCTGTACGGCTCCTGCACAAAGACAGGCCTTCATGCCCAGCGTTAGCCCCGGGACTGTGGGCCTATTGTTTTAGTAGGGAGAGGCCCTGAGTCGACCCAGAGGAGCAGCAGTGAGGTGAAAAGTCTGCCGCCATCTGTTGATATGATGCAAATTATTTTACCCAGCATGCATCAGCTGGGACGGCAAGGGTCCATTTTCTGTGCTTGTCCCCCTCTCTCTTTCTTTATTCTATCTCTGCTCTGCTCTATCCTCTCTCTATAGAGAGAATAACTGACTAGATGGGACAATATCCTTAGCTTAACGCCACTGCGTCCTCACTAGGCAAACAAACACACACAGGGGAGATACACACCCTTACCAACCCGTTAGTCCCTATTACCCTGATTTAGCCTAACTTCAGTCCAGCCTGACTCTGCAGCAGAAGAGGCTGGTGAGAGGAGCTATAGGAGGACGGGCTCATTGTAATGGCTGGAATGGAACGGTATCAAACACAGCAAATCACGTTTGACTCCGCCATTCCATTTCAACCATTGCGATCATCCTATAGTTCCTCTCACCAGCCTCCTCTGCTCTGCAGTGAGGTTATTTAGTCCTTGGCACAGGATGGAGAGGTTTGTGTCGTTTGGCCAGGGAAACAGATCTCTGTGTTATTAAGATTTTTTGCCATCCCTGTAAAAATAACATTCCCGTTTGAGTTCCCGTTGAGTTGATCTGGCAGAGGACCTCTGGTCCAGAGACATGTCAGGGCCTGAATTGCTGGACACAGGTACTGTAAAGGAAACCTTGTTGCACAATATGGTCAAACATTTGAGTAAAACATTGTTTCACATTTGATTTCCCTGTTATTAGCCTGAAGTAAAGCAGATGGTTTGATTTTGGGTGTTTTTTGCCAACTGTTTAAATGTTTACTTGACAATGTAATGATTATGTAATGTTCCATCTATAGACCCATTTCCCACGTCATGAAAAGTTGCACGAGCAGTTCGTCATCAGAAACCTCTTTGTTTACCTAGCAGTGGATACGATCACGTGCAACTTCAGCTCGTGCAAGTTAACAAACACGTAATCAGATGGTTATCATCTACAAAATCGCAGATATAATGATTACCTAGCAAGCTAGCAAGTCAAGGTAAAACATCACAAATAGAGTTAGATAAAGCCAGAAGAATAATATACTTGTTGAACATAGCTATAGCCACCAGTCTTGCGTGTTTTCATGGTCATCACTCACTAACTGTATGTCGCTCTGGATAAGAGCGTCTGCTAAATGACTAAAATGTAAATCACTCACTGACTGTTAAGTTTGTCAAGGTCCCGACATCAGCTTTAGCTATCCTGCTACAGAGCTTTTTGATGTTGGGATGCCTGCGCATCACTCGAACGTAACGTTGAATGGTAAACAGAAAATGGCTCTATTAGCCTAGCCGTCTGTGAGTCAAACAGTCTCTAACACTTCACTTATTGCCATGGCATAAAGCACAGCCTTCTTATAAAGCATGGCAACTTCTATTAGGCTACTACCATGCTTAGCACCCAGATTAGCACAGCTAGCTGGATGAGGCCAACAACTCCATGTGGCCTTTACCACGCACATACACACACCCTGAGATGGGCCTTGTGCCCCCAGGCCAGCCCCCTGTCCTGTCCCACCCCTCCCATCAGCTTGGGTGTGTAATTTAATTTGTGTGGAGCAGGTGGGTCCAAAGTGTGGTTTCATGTGACCCTAACCCTAGTAGGGTAGTAGAGCAGGCTGTGTCCTGGAACTGGTTGGAACTGGAGAAGACCGGAACCCCCACGCACACCAGGGTTGGGGTCAATTCGGAATTTCGGGAATTTAATTCAGTTCAAATAGTGAATTTGAATTGAATTTGAATTGGCCACACACCACAGGAAGCAGAACTCGATTTGAATTTGAATTGAAGTTTAATTTAATTCAAAGCGATTCAAAGCAGTTCAACTGAGACGTGAAACATGAAAGTCTCATTCATATGAGAAGTATTTTATGAAAAGGATATGCTACTTATTAATGCAAAGAATTCACATACCATTTCAAATATTAGTTTGATTATAACTCAAAGATGTCAAACAGTATTTTTAATTGTCATGAGATGTTAGATTGTCCCTTCCATACTGCAGAGTTTGATCTAATGGGAATTATGAATTATTATAGACAACCCACAACATGATCTTATAATATTTCCAGACCACTGTAATTATTTAAAATAGTTTTAGGAGAATGAGTTTTAAAAATGAAATGTTTCAACCTTATGCTTCAATGTACTGGTAACCAACCATACATTATATCAAAATAAACATTACTATGGTGATGTGTAGAATAAATAACCCATTTGAAATTCAATTCAAATTCTGCTTCATGTGGCGTGTGGCCAATTCAAATTCAAGAATTTAATTGGAATTAAAGAGCAATTCGCAACTCAATTCAGAATTGACCCCAACCCAGACGCACACCCAGCTCACACAGATAACGGTCACACAGATAAACTGAGATACACACTCACGTACACTGTACAAAAGGGAAAATTAGTCTAAACTAACAGAGAGAAAAGATAGAAATCTTCCTGAATATCTTTATGATTACCTATCAATTTACTAGACAGAGATAGAATTCAATATGTTCCTGCCCCCCTCACCTCTCTCCCCCCTCTCTCCCCCCAGCGGTAGTGGCGGAGAAGGACGGGACGCCAGTCTTTAAGTTCCCGCGGTGGCGTGTCAAAGGGAAGCCCATCCTAGAAATAGTGGAGGCCTACAAGGCGGTGGGGGCTGAGCTCAACGTCATGCCCTTCTGCTCCCAGTTCATCCCCATGAATGTGATCGACCACCCAGCCCACGGTTCCATCATCTACCACCCCTCCATCCTGCCCCTGCACCGCGGGGCCTCCGCCATCAACTGGTGAGGGAGGGAGAGGAAAAAGAAAGTGTTAAGATAGTGTGAGGATTAAGGTTTATAGACGTGTGTGTGGTGGGGTGGGGGTGGTATGTGTGTGTGTGTGTTTGTCTGTCTGTCTATGTGTCTGTCTGTGTGTGTGTCACGTGAAGAAACTTGACCATGAGGGTGATAGGTCAAGGGTTAGCCATTTGAGGATTGTGTGGGTGAGCCAGGCCTAAACTGACCACCAGAGAAGACAGACAGAATAACAAGTGTGCTTGACTCTTGAAATAGGCCTACGCAGGATCATTGTTGTAGACACTATGCCCCTATGGAGATGGTCAAGTGCAGAGGCACATGTGGTCATTTCAGCTGTTGTCAATATGTAACCGTGACCAGTGTAATTTCCTGAACAAGCTTGTCTTTAGTGTGTGCCTTTCCCTTATAGTTAAACACCTGCTGGAGAGCTGAGTAGGAGTGAGTGTGGTGCTATCTAACTGGTCTGGTTTGGGGTTGACCTGTTTGTAATGTGTTTGGCTGAGTACAGTTTGCCCTATCTTTTTCCTACCCTTACCTACAGTGGGGAAAAAAAGTATTTAGTCAGCCACCAATTGTGCAAGTTCTCCCACTTAAAAAGATGAGAGAGGCCTGTAATTTTCATCATAGGTACACATCAACTATGACAGACAAATTGAGGAAAAGAAATCCAGAAAATCACATTGTAGGATTTTTTATGAATTTATTTGCAAATTATGGTGGAAAATAAGTATTTGGTCACCTACAAACAAGCAAGATTTCTGGCTCTCACAGACCTGTAACTTCTTCTTTAAGAGGCTCCTCTGTCCTCCACTCGTTACCTGTATTAATGGCACCTGTTTGAACTTGTTATCAGTATAAAAGACACCTGTCCACAACCTCAAACAGTCACACTCCAAACTCCACTATGGCCAAGACCAAAGAGCAGTCAAAGGACACCAGAAACAAAATTGTAGACCTGCACCAGGCTGGGAAGACTGAATCTGCAATAGGTAAGCAGCTTGGTTTGAAGAAATCAACTGTGGGAGCAATTATTAGGAAATGGAAGACATACAAGACCACTGATAATCTCCCTCGATCTGGGGCTCCACGCAAGATCTCACCCCGTGGGGTCAAAATGATCACAAGAACGGTGAGCAAAAATCCCAGAACCACACAGGGGGACCTAGTGAATGACCTGCAGAGAGCTGGGACCAAAGTAACAAAGCCTACCATCAGTAACACACTACGCCGCCAGGGACTCAAATCCTGCAGTGCCAGACGTGTCCCCCTGCTTAAGCCAGTACATGTCCAGGCCCGTCTGAAGTTTGCTAGAGTGCATTTGGATGATCCAGAAGAGGATTGGGAGAATGTCATATGGTCAGATGAAACCAAAATAGAACTTTTTGGTAAAAACTCAACTCGTCGTGTTTGGAGGACAAAGAATGCTGAGTTGCATCCAAAGAACACCATACCTACTGTGAAGCATGGGGGTGGAAACATCATGCTTTGGGGCTGTTTTTCTGCAAAGGGACCAGGACGACTGATCCGTGTAAAGGAAAGAATGAATGGGGCCATGTATCTTGAGATTTTGAGTGAAAACCTCCTTCCATCAGCAAGGGCATTGAAGATGAAACGTGGCTGGGTCTTTCAGCATGACAATGATCCCAAACACACCGCCCGGGCAACGAAGGAGTGGCTTCGTAAGAAGCATTTCAAGGTCCTGGAGTGGCCTAGCCAGTCTCCAGATCTCAACCCCATAGAAAATCTTTGGAGGGAGTTGAAAGTCCGTGTTGTCCAGCGACAGCCCCAAAACATCACTGTTCTAGAGGAGATCTGCATGGAGGAATGGGCCAAAATACATGTACATTTTTTTTACATTTTAGTCGACGCTCTTATCCAGAGCGACTTACAGTTAGTGAATACATATTTTTTTATATACTGGCCCCCCATGGGAATCAAACCCACAACCCTGGCGTTGCAAACGCCATGCTCTACCAACTGAGCTACATCCCTGCCGGCCATTCCCTCCCCTACCCTGGACGACGCTGGGCCAATTGTGCGCCGCCCATGAGTCTCCCGGTCGCGGCCGGCTGCGACAGAGCCTGGATTCGAACCAGGATCTCTAGTGGCACAGTTAGCACTGCGATGCAGTGCCTTAGACCACTGCACCACTCAGGAGTGTATACCAGCAACAGTGTGTGAAAACCTTGTGAAGACTTACAGAAAACGTTTGACCTGTGTCATTGCCAACAAAGGGTATATAACAAAGTATTGAGAAACTTTTGTTATTGACCAAATACTTATTTTCCACCATAATTTGCAAATAAATTCATTAAAAATCCTACAATGTGATTTTCTGGATTTTTTTTTCTCAATTTGTCTGTCATAGTTGACGAGTACCTATGATGAAAATTACAGGCCTCTCTCATCTTTTTAAGTGGGAGAACTTGCACAATTGGTGGCTGACTAAATACTTTTTTCCCCCACTGTATTCTCGGTTCCTGTTATCTGTGTTGGGGGTGTGTGTGCGCGTGTCCGTGTACGTCTCTGTGTGTGAACAGCTATGTGGATTTAGCCTATATTGGACACTGATCTGTGTTTGACTTGGCTCTTTAACCCAGGGGCGCAACTTTCATTGGGGACGGGGGGACGAGGGACGACGACATGTCCCCCACATTCTGAAATTGCATTTTTGTCCCCCCCCCCCCCAGTTTTATCATTGGAATGTGATACAAAACAAGGCAGCGGTGTGCTTTAGGACCATGTGGACGCCTCCGAGTGGTCGGGTAGGCTGTTTGGAGTGTATATCTGACTGGATAAAAAAAAATATATATATATATACAGTACCAGTCAAAAGTTTGGACACACCTACTCATTCAAGGGTTTTTCTTTATGTTTACTATTTTCTACATTTACATTTTACATTTTAGTCATTTAGCAGACGCTCTTATCCAGAGCGACTTACAGTTAGTGAATACATTTTTTTTTATACTGGCCCCCCGTGGGAATCGAACCCACAACCCTGGCGTTGCAAACGCCATGCTCTATCAACTGAGCTACATCCCTGCCGGCCATTCCCTCCCCTACCCTGGACAACGCTGGGCCAATTGTGCGCCGCCCATGAGTCTCCCGGTCGCGGCCGGCTGCGACAGAGCCTGGATTCGAACCAGGATCTCTAGTGGCACAGTTAGTACTGCGATGCAGTGCCTTAGACCACTGTAGAATAATATTGAAGACATCAAAACTATGAAATAACACATATGGAATCATGTAGTAACCAAAAAAGTGTTAAACAAATCAAAATATATTTTAGATTTTAGATTCTTCAAAGTAGCCACCCTTTACCTTGATGGCAGCTTTGCACACTCTTGGCATTCTCTCAACCAGCTTAATGACGAATGCTTTTCCAACAGTCTTGAAGGAGTTCCCACATATGCTGAGCACTTGTTGGCTGCTTTTCCTTCACTCTGCGGTCCAACTCATCCCAAACCATCTCAATTGGGTTGAGGTCGGGTGATTGTGGAGGCCAGGTCAACTGATGCAGCACTCCATCACTCTTTCCACTGGTCCAATGTCCATTGCTTGTGTTTCTTGGCCCAAGCAAGTCTCTTCTTCTTATTGTTGTCCTTTAGTAGTGGTTTCTTTGCAGCAATTCGACCATGAAGGCCTGATTCACGCAGTCCCCTCTGAACAGTTGATGTGGAGATGTGTCTGTTACTTTTATTTGGACTGCAATCTGAGGTGCAGTTAACTCTAATGAACTTATCCTCTGCAGCAGAGGTAACTCTGGGTCTTCCTTTCCTCTGGCGGTCCTCATGAGAGCCAATTTCATCATAGCGCTTGATGGTTTTTGTAACTGCACTTGAAGAAACTTTAAAAGTTCTTGAAATGTTCCGGGTTGACTGACCTTCATGTCTTAAAGTAATGATGGACTGTCGTTTCTCTTTGCTTATTTGAGCTGTTCTTGCCATAATATGGACTTGGTCTTTTACCAAATAGGGCTATCTTCTGTATACCTCCCCTACCTTGTCACAACACAACTGATTGGCTCAAACACATTAAGAAGGAAAGAAATTCCACAAATTAACTTTTAAGAAGGCACACCTCTTAATTGAAATGCATTCCAGGTGACTACCTCATGAAGCTGGTTGAGAGAATGCCAAGAGTGTGCAAAGCTGTCATCAAGGGAAAGGGTGGCTACTTTGAAGAATCTTAAATATAAAATATATTTTGATTTGTTTAACACTTTTTTGGGTTACTACATACAGTGGGGGAAAAAGTATTTAGTCAGCCACCAATTGTGCAAGTTCTCCCACTTAAAAAGATGAGAGAGGCCTGTAATTTTCATCATAGGTACACGTCAACTATGACAGACAAATTGAGAAAAAAATTCCAGAAAATCACATTGTAGGATTTTTTATGAATTTATTTGCAAATTATGGTGGAAAATAAGTATTTGGTCACCTACAAACAAGCAAGATTTCTGGCTCTCACAGACCTGTAACTTCTTCTTTAAGAGGCTCCTCTGTCCTCCACTCGTTACCTGTATTAATGGCACCTGTTTGAACTTGTTATCAGTATAAAAGACACCTGTCCACAACCTCAAACAGTCACACTCCAAACTCCACTATGGCCAAGACCAAAGAGCTGTCAAAGGACACCAGAAACAAAATTGTAGACCTGCACCAGGCTGGGAAGACTGAATCTGCAATAGGTAAGCAGCTTGGTTTGAAGAAATCAACTGTGGGAGCAATTATTAGGAAATGGAAGACATACAAGACCACTGATAATCTCCCTCGATCTGGGGCTCCACACAAGATCTCACCCCGTGGGGTCAAAATGATCACAAGAACGGTGAGCAAAAATCCCAGAACCACACGGGGGGACCTAGTGAATGACCTGCAGAGAGCTGGGACCAAAGTAACAAAGCCTACCATCAGTAACACACTACGCCGCCAGGGACTCAAATCCTGCAGTGACAGACGTGTCCCCCTGCTTAAGCCAGTACATGTCCAGGCCCGTCTGAAGTTTGCTAGAGTGCATTTGGATGATCCAGAAGAGGATTGGGAGAATGTCATATGGTCAGATGAAACCAAAATAGAACTTTTTGGTAAAAACTCAACTCGTCGTGTTTGAAGGACAAAGAATGCTGAGTTGCATCCAAAGAACACCATACCTACTGTGAAGCATGGGGGTGGAAACATCATGCTTTGGGGCTGTTTTTCTGCAAAGGGACCAGGACGACTGATCCGTGTAAAGGAAAGAATGAATGGGGCCATGTATCGTGAGATTTTGAGTGAAAACCTCCTTCCATCAGCAAGGGCATTGAAGATGAAACGTGGCTGGGTCTTTCAGCATGACAATGATCCCAAACACACCGCCCGGGCAACGAAGGAGTGGCTTCGTAAGAAGCATTTCAAGGTCCTGGAGTGGCCTAGCCAGTCTCCAGATCTCAACCCCATAGAAAATCTTTGGAGGGAGTTGAAAGTCCGTGTTGCCCAGCGACAGCCCCAAAACATCACTGCTCTAGAGGAGATCTGCATGGAGGAATGGGCCAAAATACCAGCAACAGTGTGTGAAAACCTTGGATTTTTTTTCCTCATTTTGTCTGTCATAGTTGACGTGTACCTATGATGAAAATTACAGGCCTCTCTCATCTTTTTAAGTGGGAGAACTTGCACAATTGGTGGCTGACTAAATACTTTTTTTCCCCACTGTAATTCCATATGTGTTATTTCATAGATTGATGTCTTCACTATTATTCTACAATGTAGAAAATAGTAAAAATAAAGAAAAACCCTTGAATGAGTAGGTGTGTCCAAACTTTTGACTAGTACTGTATGTCCCCGCCACTTCTAAAACCAAAGTTGCGCCCCTGCTTTAACCTATTTGTGAATGGGCTCTATGGAAAAGGTTGGCTTTCTCTCAGTCTGTGCTACAGCTGTAGGATCTTAATTTGATCACTCTTCTGTTGCTGAGAATTTACCTGCGCCGTAGGAAATGCAGATGAGCTTCACGATTGACATAAATTCACTGAAAACCTGCATACACACACGGTTATATTAACATTATTGCACTTTTCATGTTGCCTACTTTCTCCAGCTAATAGCCTAACCACCGATCAAGCAACATTATGAACTAAACGTTAAAATCCTATTGCTGCTGGATTATTTTGCTGACAATACTGGTCAAATTAAGATCAGACGTCTGTATAAATGCAATTTGTCACAGATTTGTTCCTGGTTTTATGCATGACCTGATTCCGTGAGAGGCCTGCTCCATATGGTTCCGTTTATGACCCTGTTTCTGTGTACGTCCCTGTTTCTATGTATGACCGTGGTTCTATGCATGACGTTGGTTCTGTGTCTGACCTGGTTCTGTGTCCTGTGTCCTCCTCAGGACTCTGATCCAGGGGGATAAGAAGGCTGGGTTCTCCATCTTCTGGGCTGACGATGGTCTGGACACGGGTCCCATCCTGCTCCAGAGAGAGTGTCTTGTGGAACCCAACGACACAGTGGACACCCTCTACAATCGCTTCCTCTTTCCAGAGGGCATCAAGGCCATGGTAACCATAGCAACGCACCATCATCTCCCTCTGTCCATCCTCGGATCACAGTCAGGATAAAACATACCACAGTCCCATGTGAATGGTGTAACGGTTGATGTGTACTACATTTAACACTGCTGTAACACGTAACACACTGACATTGCTTGGGGGTTGGTGTATTCCTTTTGTGCAGGTGGAGTCAGTGCAGCTGATCGCTGATGGGAAGGCCCCACGTATCCCCCAGACAGAGGAGGGGGCCAGCTACGAGGGTATCCAGAAGAAGTCCAACTCCAAGGTGAGATAGTGAATGTGGTGTGAAGCATCAACAACGAGAGACACAGCGTCACCTGGTTAAGGCTGTTTGTAGAGAATGGTGGAAAGTAAGTCAAATATCATGTTAGGAAATAACCATTCAAATAATTTCCTGTCTTTCTTTTCCTCTCACTTTTTTGCCCAAACTATTATGTTTTCTTCTGAAAACTGTTTAGGACAGTTTGATGTTGCTCAATTTGTAGCCATTTAATTCCACAATATGTCCATTCATTACTCAGTTTGGAAAAGTCCTGTTTAGCGAGAGTGTGATGTACTAGGGCCAGTAATGAAATGAGGGGTTGTCTAAGGAGGGGGGTAGGGCTGGTTTGAGGGGGTGGGGAGTGTTAACTTACTAGATCCTATAGCACTGGCCAACATTCTTAAGGCGAGGAGGGAGTGGGGAGTGGGGGGTTATTTTTAAGGTCCCTCTTCCTAGTGTTGCATAATAAGCTGCCAACTGTTTGGTCCCCACCTGGTTCCTAGAAACGAATTAAAGAAGCGTCTGAAAATGAATATTTTCTTCGTCTCTCCTCCAGGTCAACCTAGCCCAGCCGGCAGAGGCTATCCACAACTGGATCCGCGGCCACGACAAAGTCCCCGGGGCGTGGACGGTCATTGATGGTCAGGTGCGTTCCCAAAAACGCACACACACATTACATTTACAGTGTGTGTATGAACTGTACGTAGTGTCTAATGTTCTGTTTCTGTATTACTGTGTGTGTGTGTGTCTGTCTCATTGGCAGTGTGTCAATTGAACCCGTGTCCTCTCTCTGTCTCTCCTTAGACTGTGACTCTGTACGGGTCGTCCATGCTGGGGGAGTCGGTGCCAGCCGGTCAGCCCCTGGAGTTAGAGGGGGCGTCCCAGCCTGGTGTCGTCACCAAGAACGGCCTGGTTCTGTACGGGTCAGATAGCAAAGCGGTGAGTCACAGGAAATGAGATCAATGGGAAATGAATAGGGAAATGTACAGGCAAGTGTCTAGTGGGAACCCTGTTGGCTTTATTGCCTGTGATGTAACAGAGCACTATAAAGTATCTATCAACCTCCGATGGCTTCTAAAGTTCATTTTGAGAATAGTTTCTCCAGTTTAGTTATTAAGACATAGCTCGGGCTTAACCCTAACTCTTTGTTGCCTCGCCTCCTTCCTCTCCTCACCCTCGTCCTCCTCTGGTTCCTCCACAGCTGATGGTGAAGAACCTGCAGTTTGAGGATGGGAAGATGATCTCTGCTGCTAAGTACTTCTCTTCAGGAGACACCGCCAGCGTGGAGCTGACTGATGATGAGAAGAAGATGGCAGAGGAGATACGAGTATGTTTCTCATTGTATCTCTAAAGGCTTCCACATTGCCATGTGTGATAGTTTGACACTACTAGAACATGAATCTGTTACTTAGTATACCACCATGTTGTAAATGCATGATTCAGATAGAAGCTGTTCAATTAGCGCCACTGATTCAGTGTGTTGTCACTCCAGGACATCTGGAAAGGCATTCTGAGCAACGTTGCTGCCATTGAGGAAACCACAGACTTCTTCAAGTCAGGAGCTGCTTCTATGGACGTGGTCAGGTGAGTGTATGCTTTCACTGGCATTGACCTGGTTTAACCCTGCAGTTTTTTGTTATATTTTTTATTAACAGTGATTTTGATCATCATGGTGACTTTTGTGACCCTAGTTGACCCCATTGTACCTGAGTGACTTAATCTCCTATGACCTGACATAACTTCACTATGACCCTGATATAACCCCATCCTATCCTCAGGCTGGTGGAGGAGATCAAGCAGAAGTGTGCAGGGTTGCAGCTGCAGAATGAGGATGTGTACATGGCCACCACCTTCCAGGACTTCATCCAGATGTTTGTGAGAAGGCTGAGGGGGGAGGACCAGGAGGAGGAGATGGTCATCGACTATGTGAGTCAGACACACAACTGTCATACAGTAGCCTGGTCCCAGATCTGTTTGTGCTGTCTTGCCAACTCCTATGGTCATTTGTGCAACAATGATCATAGGAGTTGGCAAGACACCACAATTAATGACCAAAGGAGTTGGCAAGACAGTACAAACTGATCTGGGACCAGGCTGGTCATACAGAGCACAGATGGTGTTACTATTGATGGTGATGATAATGAGAAACATACTGTTTCCCACTCACTTTCCACTTGTATTTTCAAGTGTTTAAATGACACATATACACATGTTATAAGATGATTATAAAACACAGTTGGATCTGTAATTTGTCTTTGACGTGTAATGTTATGCCACTGTCATGGTTTTGTTCCCAGGCGATGAAAGACGTTAACAACATGACGGTGAAGATGCCTTGGCAGTGTTTCATCAATGGCAAGTTTGAGGACGCAGAGAACGGCAAGACTGCCGATACTATCAACCCTGCCGATGGCTCTGTGAGTTGTAATGCTATACATACAGATAAACACACACATATCCTACTATTACTCATCTATCATACTTAGATATACACTCTCACATACACACTGACTTATGTCATTAAATGTTTTCCCTAGGTGATCTGTAAGGTAGCCTACGCGTCAGTGGGAGATGTGGACCGGGCGGTAGCAGCAGCCAAAGAGGCCTTTGAGGTTGGCCCCTGGGGCAGGATGAACCCTAGAGATCGTGGCACCCTGCTGTACAAGTGAGCACCAAGCTTACAGCACCTCCTAGAGGCCTGGTGGAGATCTGCCTCGACTCATTATGGAGTATAGTTACTATCAGGGAACTTGTTTATATAGTGCAGATTTATATCCATTTATACAACAATAGTATATTTTGAGGACAACGACTGCCAGCGGAACCTTGAACCTACCTCCATCTCTTTTGCTGACCTCCCCTCCCTACCAGGCTGGCTGACCTTATGGAGGAGCACCAGGAGGAGTTGGCCACCATAGAGTCCATAGATTCTGGAGCTGTCTACACCCTGGCACTGAAGACCCACGTAGGCATGTCCATCCAGACCTTCCGCTACTTCGCCGGCTGGTGTGACAAGATCCAGGTACAGTTTCACCTGCATGGACCATATAAATATAAAGATGTTTGGAGCAGTTTGTATGATGAAACTGGCTCCACCTCTTTTTATAATAATAATAATATGCCATTTAGCAGACGTTTTTATCCAAAGCGACTTACAGTCATGCGTGCATAATTTTTTTTTGTGTATGGGTGGTCCCGGGGATCGAACCCACTACCTTGGCGTTACAAGCGCCGTTACAAGCGCCGTGCTCTACCAGCTGAGCTACAGAGGATCACACTTCCCTGTTGCCATATACTGACCTACTAGTGAGTAGATATTTTCAGTAATCTAGTAGTCTAAGGATATCTTCTATTACATCCTGTCTGCTACAGGGCAAGACGATACCCATCAACCAGGCCAGGCCCAATCGCAATCTGACCTTTACCAAGAAGGAACCTCTGGGGTAAGGGGTCAGAGTTCACATGTGATACAACTCTACTAGGAAATATCAATATGGATTTAGATATGAACATGATTCATGAGTAGTGGTTTTAGGATGAGTATTGGTTGTAGTAACCACTGCATTTGGCTGACCTGTGGCACCTGCTCATGGTGAGTGTTGTGTGTTTCCTGGGTGCCAGTGTGTGTGCCATCGTCATTCCCTGGAACTACCCACTCATGATGCTGGCATGGAAGAGTGCCGCTTGCCTTGCTGCTGGAAACACACTGGTCCTGAAACCTGCACAGGTGAGAACACGCACCTGCATACGTTACAACAGATTCAGTCATAGATTTTATACCAGCAGTTGAACAACTTATGTAACATGGCAGTCACACACGACATTACCTGTCACACACAACTCTACCTAACGTAACCTTTCTCTGTAGGCCTACGTGTTAAAATAGCCTCTCTAGCACTGCACATTGCTGAACCACATACAGTGGCGAGAACAAGTATTTGATACACTGCCGATTTTGCAGGTTTTCCTACTTACAAAGCATGTAGATGTCTGTAATTTTTATCATAGGTACACTTCAACTGTGAGAGACGGAATCTAAAACAAAAATCCAGAAAATCACATTGTATGATTTTTAAGTAATTAATTTGCATTTTATTGCATGACATAAGTATTTGATCACCTACCAACCAGTAAGAATTCCAGCTCTCACAGACCTGTTAGTTTTTCTTTAAGAAGCCCTCCTGTTCTCCGCTCATTACCTGTATTAACTGCACCTGTTTGAACTCATTACCTGTATAAAAGACACCTGTCCACACACTCAATCAAACAGACTCCAACCTCTCCACAATGGCCAAGACCAGAGAGCTGTGTAAGGACATCAGGGATAAAATTGTAGACCTGCACAAGGCTGGGATGGGCTACAGGACAATAGGCAAGCAGCTTGGTGAGAAGGCAACAACTGTTGGCGCAATTATTAGAAAATGGAAGAAGTTCAAGATGACGGTCAATCACCCTCGGTCTGGGGCTCCATGCAAGATCTCACCTCGTGGGGCATCAATGATCATGAGGAAGGTGAGGGATCAGCCCAGAACTACACGGCAGGACCTGGTCAATGACTTGAAGAGAGCTGGGACCACAGTCTCAAAGAAAACCATTAGTAACACACTACGCCGTCATGGATTAAAATCCTGCAGCGCATGCAAAGTCCCCCTGCTCAAGCCAGCGCATGTCCAGGCCCGTCTAAAGTTTGCCAATGACCATATGGATGATCCAGAGGAGGAATGGGAGAAGGTCATGTGGTCTGATGAGACAAAAATAGAGCTTTTTGGTCTAAACTCCACTCGCCGTGTTTGGAGGAAGAAGAAGGATGAGTACAACCCCAAGAACACCATCCCAACCGTGAAGCATGGAGGTGGAAACATCATTCTTTGGGGATGCTTTTCTGCAAAGGGGACAGGACGACTGCACCGTATTGAGGGGAGGATGGATGGGGCCATGTATCGCGAGATCTTGGCCAACAACCTCCTTCCCTCAGTAAGAGCATTGAAGATGGGTCGTGGCTGGGTCTTCCAGCATGACAACGACCCGAAACACACAGCCAGGGCAACTAAGGAGTGGCTCCGTAAGAAGCATCTCAAGGTCCTGGAGTGGCCTAGCCAGTCTCCAGACCTGAACCCAATAGAAAATCTTTGGAGGGAGCTGAAAGTCCGTATTGCCCAGCGACAGCCCCGAAACCTGAAGGATCTGGAGAAGGTCTGTATGGAGGAGTGGGCCAAAATCCCTGCTGCAGTGTGTGCAAACCTGGTCAAGACCTACAGGAAACGTATGATCTCTGTAATTGCAAACAAAGGTTTCTGTACCAAATATTAAGTTCTGCTTTTCTGATGTATCAAATACTTATGTCATGCAATAAAATGCAAATTAATTACTTAAAAATCATACAATGTGATTTTCTGGATTTTTGTTTTAGATTCCGTCTCTCACAGTTGAAGTGTACCTATGATAAAAATTACAGACATCTACATGCTTTGTAAGTAGGAAAACCTGCAAAATCGGCAGTGTATCAAATACTTGTTCTCCCCACTGTATGTAAATATCAGTTTTTCCTTTGACTCACTTGTCTCTTGAAGAGTTTCCTGTGTCCACAGCAAGGAACGTGTTACACTCTCACTCTCTGCTCTCGTCCAAAAGGTTACTCCTCTGTCAGCCCTGAAGTTTGCTGAGCTGACTGTGAAGGCTGGAATTCCCAAGGGAGTCATCAACATCGTACCTGGCTCAGGTAACAGGACACAAGGGAGCAAGGGCTTGTGGGAAGGGAGAGGTCCTCCAGGAGATCTCTCACTCCATCTCCCCCTCTCTACCACCCTCTCTCCCCCATCTCTACTTCCCTTTCTCCCCCTGGCGCCCTCTCACCCCTTTCTCTCTCTCCACCTCCCTCTCCCCCATCTCTCTAATAGGTGGGATGGTGGGACAGCGCATGTCTGACCACCCAGACATCCGTAAACTGGGCTTCACAGGCTCCACTCCTATCGGCAAACAGATCATGAAAAGGTACAGTAGGGGGCTGGGACCCCACTTATTCCTGATTGGCTGATATTGGGCTACTTCCTGCTCATGCTCACGTGTCATTTCCTGTTGCAGCTGTGCGCTGAGTAACCTGAAGAAGGTTTCTCTGGAGCTGGGAGGGAAGTCTCCACTCATCATCTTCAGTGACTGTGACATGGACAAGGCTGTGCGCATGGTGAGAGAGGGAGAGAAAGAAGGAAAAGAGGAGAGAGACTTCATACCTGTGTCTTTTAACTTCTTCACTGACCTGCTCTTATTTACTTCATATTCCCTTCCCCTCCATCTCTCTTTCTGCAGGGTATGAGTTCTGTGTTCTTCAACAAAGGAGAGAACTGCATCGCTGCTGGACGCCTGTTCGTGGAGGAGTCCATACATGATGAGTACATCAGGAGAGTGGTGAGTGTCTTCAACCCTCCCACAACAGTGCAAAACACACAATACACTTTACCTCTTCCTCTTCAAATCAAATCAAATGTATTGGTCACATACACATGGTTAGCAGATGTTATTGCGAGTGTAGCGAAATGCTTGTGCTTCTAGTTCCGACAGTGCAGCAATATCTAGCAAGTAATATCTAACAGTTCCACAACAAAAACCTAATACACACAAATCTAAGTAAAGGAATGGAATAAGAATATATAAAAATATGGATGAGCAATGTCATTATCAGAGTGGCATAGGCTAAGATGCAATAGATAGTATAGAATACAGTATATGCAGTTGAAGTCGGAAGTTTACATACACCTTAGCCAAATACATTTAAACTCAGTTTTTCACAATTCCTGACATTTAATCCTAGTAAAAATTCCCTGTCTTAGGTCAGTTAGGATCACCACTTTATTTTAAGAATGTGAAATGTCAGAATAATAGTAAAGATAATGATTTATTTAAGCTTTTATTTCTTTCATCACATTCCTAGTGGGTCAGAAGTTTACATACACTCAATTAGTATTTGGTAGCATTGCCTTTAAATTGTTTAACTTGGGTCAAACGTTTCGGGTAGCCTTCCACAAGCTTCCCACAATAAGTTGGGTGAATTTTGGCCCATTCCTCCTGACAGAGCTGGTGTAACTGAGTCAGGTTTGTAGGCCTCCTTGCTCTGCCCACACATTTTCTATAGGATTGAGGTCAGGGCTTTGTGATGGCCACTCCAATACCTTGACTTTGTTGTCCTTAAGCCATTTTGCCACAACTTTGGAAGTATGCTTGGGGTCATTGTCCATTTGGAAGACCCATTTGCGACCAAGCTTTAACTTCCTGACTGATGTCTTGAGATGTTGCTTCAATATATCCACATAATTTTCCTTCCTCATGATGCCATCTATTTTGTGAAGTGCACCAGTCCCTCTTGCAGCAAAGCACCCCCACAGTATGATGCTGCCACCCCCATGCTTCACGGTTGGGATGGAGTTCTTCGGCTTGCAAGCGTCACCACTTTTCCTCCAAACATAACAATGGTCATTATGGCCAAACAGTTCTATTTTTGTTTAATCAGACCAGAGGACATTTCTCCAAAAAGTACGATCTTTGTCCCCATGTGCAGTTGCAAACCATAGTCTGGCTTTTTTATGACGGTTTTGGAGCAGTGGCTTCTTCCTTGCTGAGCGGCCTTTCAGGTTATGTCGATATAGGACTCGTTTTACTGTGGATATAGATACTTTTGTACCTGTTTCCTCCAGCATCTTCACAAGGTCCTTTGCTGTTGTTCTGGGATTGATTTGCACAATTCGCACCAAAGTATGTTCATCTCTAGGAGACAGAACGCGTCTCCTTCCTGAGCGGTATGACGGCTGCGTGATCCCATGGTGTTTATACTTGCGTACTATTGTTTGTACAGATGAACGTGGTACCTTCAGGCGTTTGGAAATTGCTCCCAAGGATGAACAAGACTTGTGGAGGTCTACCATTTTTTTTCTGAGGTCTTGGCTGATTTCTTTTGATTTTCCCATGATGTCAAGCAAAGAGGCACTGAGTTTGAAGGTAGGCCTTGAAATACATCCACAGGTACACCTCCAATTGACTCAAATTATGTCAATTAGCCTATCAGAAGCTTCTAAAGCCATGACATCATTTTCTGGAATTTTCCAAGCTGTTTAAAGGCACAGTCAACTAAATGTACGTAAACTTCTGACCCACTGGAATTGTGATACAGTGAATTATAAGTGAAACAATTGTTGGAAAAATTACTTGTGTCATGCACAAAGTAGATGTCCTAACCGACTTGCCAAAACTATAGTTTGTTAACAAGAAATGTGTGGAGTGGTTGAAAAACAAGTTTTAATGACTCCAACCTAAGTGTATGTAAACGTCCGACTTCAACTGTACATATGAGATGGGTAATGCAAGATATGTAAACATTATTAAGATAGTATAGAATACAGTATATACATATGAGATGGGTACTGCAAGATATGTAAACATTATTAAAGTGGCATTATGAAAGTGACTAGTGTTCCATTTATTCAAGTGGCCAGTGATTTTCAAGTCTGTATGTAGGCAGAAGCCTCTCTGTGCTAGTGATGGCTGTTTAACAGTCTGATGGCCTTGAGATAGAATATGTTTTTCAGTCTCTCGGTCCCAGCTTTGACGCACCTGTACTGACCTCGCCTTCTGGATGATAACGGGGTGAACAGGCAGTGGCTCAGGTGGTAGTTGTCCTTGATTATCTTTTTGGCCTTCCTGTGACATCGGGTGCTGTAGGTGTCCTGGAGGGCAGGTAGTTTGCCCCCGGTGATGTGTTGTGCAGACCGCACCACCCTCTGGAGAGCCCTGCGGTTGTGGGTGGTGCAGTTGCCATACCAGGCGGTGATACAGCCCGACAGGATGCTCTCAATTGTGCATCTGTAAAAGTTTGTGAGGGTTTTAGGTGACAGGCCTACATCAGTGATATGTACGGTGAGGAACCTAAAACTTTCCACCTTCTCCACTGCTGTCCCGTCGATGTGGATAGGGGGGGTACTCCCTCTGCTGTTTCCTGAAGTCCACGATCATCTCCTTTGTTTAGTTGACATTGAGTGAGAGGTTATTTTCCTGGCACCACACTCCGACAGCCCTCACCTCCTCCCTGTAGGCTGTCTCATCGTTGTTGGTAATCAAGGCTACTACTGTTGTGTTGTCTGCAAACTTGATGATTGAGTTGGAGGCGTGCATTGCGACGCAGTCATGGGTGAACAGGGAGTTCCTCCGTTTCCTCCACCACACAACAGCTGAGTCTCTGTGTGGCATAGCTCAAGGGTCTCTCAAGATCATTTTCCTCATAGCTTTTGCATTCCTCCTCTTCCTCCGTCTCCCCTGCTCTTCCTCCCATCAGGTGGAGGAGATAAAGAAGATGAAGGTGGGTGATCCTCTGGACCGCTCCACGGACCACGGGCCCCAGAACCACAAGGCCCACATGGACAAGCTGGTGGAGTACTGTGAAGTGGGACTGAAGGAGGGCGCCACGCTGGTGTACGGGGGCAAACAAGTGGACAGGCCAGGTAAACACTTTTGAAGCAGTGTGTTTCCAACACTATAGGCCCCTCTAGTATCACAGTATGCACTCATACCAAAGTAGCTATAGTAGAATAACCTTTGTTCAAATCAAATCAAATTGTTTTAGTCACATACACAGTATTTAGCAGATGTTATTGCGGGTGCAGCGAAATGCTTGTTTTCCTAGCTCCAACAGTGCAGTATTATCTAACAATACACACAAATCTAAAAGTAAAAGAATGGAATTAAGAAATATAGAAATATTAGAACGAGCATTGTCAGAGTCCGGAGGATAAATATACACTACCGGTGAAAAGTTTTAGAACACCTACTCATTCAAGAGTTTTTCTTTATTTTTACTATTTTCTACATTGTAGAATAATAGTGAAGACATCAAAACTATGAAATAACACATATGGAATCATGTAGTAACCCAAAAAGTGTTAAACAAATAGGCACCCTTTGCACACTCTTGGCATTCTCTCAACCAGCTTCATGAGGTAGTCACCTGGAATGAATTTTAATTACATTTTAATTTTACATTTTAGTCATTTAGCAGACACTCTTATCCAGAGCGACTTACAGTTAGCTCTACCAACTGAGCTACAGGTGTGCCTTCTTAAAAGTTAATTTGTGGAATTTCTTTCCTTCTTAATGCTTTTGAGCCAATCAGTTGTGTTGTGACAAGGTAGGGGGGGTATACAGAAGATAGCCCTATTTGGTAAAAGACCTAGTCCATATTATGGCAAGAACAGCTCAAATAAGCAAAGAGAAACGAAAGTCCATCATTACTTTAAGACATGAAGGTTAGTCAATACGGAAAATGTCAAGAACTTTGAAAGTTTCTTCAAGTGCAGTCGCAAAAACCATCAAGCGCTATGATGAAACTAGCTCTCATGAGGACCGCCACAGGAATGGATGACCCACCCAGAGTTACCTCTGCTGCAGAGGATAAGTTCATTAGAGTTAACTGCACCTCAGATTGCAGCCCAAATAAATGCTTCAAAGAGTTCAAGTAACAGACACATCTCAACATCAACTGTTCAGAGGAGACTGTGTGAATCAGGCCTTCATGGTCGAATTGCTGCAAATAAGCCACTACTAAAGGACACCAATAATAAGAAGAGACTTGCTTGGGCCAAGAAACACGAGCAATGGACATTAGACTGGTGGAAATGTGTCCTTTGGTCTGGAGTCCAAATTGGAAATGTTTGGTTTCAACCGCCGTGTCTTTGTGAGACGCGGTGTGGGTGAACGGATGATCTCTGCATGTGTATTTCCCACCGTAAAGCATGGAGGAGGAGGTGTTATGGTGTGGGGGTGCTTTGTTGGTGACACTGTCTGTGATTAATTTAGAATTCAAGGCACACTTAACCAGCATGGCTACCACAGCATTCTGCAGCGATACGCCCTCCCATCTGGTTTGGGCTTAGTGGGACTATCATTTGTTTTTCAACAGGACAATGACCCAACACACCTCCAGGCTGTGTAAGGGCTATTTTACCAAGAAGGAGAGTGATGGAGTGCTGCATCAGATGACCTGGCCTCCACAATCCCCCGACCTCAACCCAATTGAGATGGTTTGGGATGAGTCGGACCGCAGAGTGAAGGAAAAGCAGCCAACAAGTGCTCAGCATATGTGTGAACTCCTTCAAGACTGTTAGAAAAGCATTCCAGGTGAAGCTGGTTGAGAGAATGTCAAGAGTATGCAAAGCTGTCATCAAGGCAAAGGGTGGCTATTTGAAGAATCTCAAATATAAAATATATTTTGATTTGTTTAACACTTTTTTGGTTACTACATGATTCCATATGTGTTATTTCATAGTTCTGATGTCTTCACTATTATCCTACAATGTAGAAAATAGTAAAAATAAAGAAAAACCCTTGAATGAGTAGGTGTGTCCAAACTTTTGACTGGTACTGTATATATACACTGCTCAAAAAAATAAAGGGAACACTTAAACAACACAATGTAACTCCAAGTCAATCACACTTCTGTGAAATCAAACTGTCCACTTAGGAAGCAACACTGATTGACAATAAATTTCACATGCTGTTGTGCAAATGGAATAGACAACAGGTGGAAATTATAGGCAATTAGCAAGACACCCCCAATAAAGAAGTGGTTCTGCAGGTGGTGACCACAGACCACTTCTCAGTTCCAATGCTTCCTGGCTGATGTTTTGGTCACTTTTGAATGCTGTCGGTGCTTTCACTCTAGTGGTAGCATGAGACGGAGTCTACAACCCACACAAGTGGCTCAGGTAGTGCAGCTCATCCAGGATGGCACATCAATGCGAGCTGTGGCAAGAAGGTTTGCTGTGTCTGTCAGCGTAGTGTCCAGAGCATGGAGGCGCTACCAGGAGACAGGCCAGTACATCAGGAGATGTGGAGGAGGCCGTAGGAGGGCAACAACCCAGCAGCAGGACCGCTACCTCCGCCTTTGTGCAAGGAGGAGCAGGAGGAGCACTGCCAGAGCCCTGCAAAATGACCTCCAGCAGGCCACAAATGTGCATGTGTCTGCTCAAACGGTCAGAAACAGACTCCATGAGGGTGGTATGAGGGCCCGACGTCCACAGGTGGGGGTTGTACTTACAGCCCAACAACGTGCAGGACGTTTGGCATTTGCCAGAGAACACCAAGATTGGCAAATTCACCACTGGCGCCCTGTGCTCTTCACAGATGAAAGCAGGTTCACACTGAGCACGTGACAGACGTGACAGAGTCTGGAGACGCCGTGGAGAACGTTCTGCTGCCTGCAACATCCTCCAGCATGACCGGTTTGGCGGTGGGTCAGTCATGGTGTGGGGTGGCATTTCTTTGGGGGGGCCGCACAGCCCTCCATGTGCTCGCCAGAGGTAGCCTGACTGCCATTAGGTACCGAGATGAGATCCTCAGACCCCTTGTGAGACCATATGCTGGTGCGGTTGGCCCTGGGTTCCTCCTAATGCAAGACAATGCTAGACCTCATGTGGCTGGAGTGTGTCAGCAGTTCCTGCAAGAGGAAGGAATTGATGCTATGGACTAGCCCGCCCGTTCCCCAGACCTGAATCCAATTGAGCACATCTTGGACATCATGTCTCGCTCCATCCACCAACGCCACGTTGCACCACAGACTGTCCTGGAGTTGGCGGATGCTTTAGTCCAGATCTGGGAGGAGATCCCTCAGGAGACCATCCGCCACCTCATCAGGAGCATGCCCAGGCGTTGTAGGGAGGTCATACAGGCACGTGGAGGCCACACACACTACTGAGCCTCATTTTGACTTGTTTTAAGGACATTGCATCAAAGTTGGATCAGCCTGTAGTGTGGTTTTCCTCTTTAATTTTGAGGGTGACTCCAAATCCAGACCAAATCCAGAATTTCATTCATTCAGATCTAGGATGTGTTATTTTAGTGTTCCCTTTATTTTTTTGAGCAGTGTATATATACACTACCATTCAAAAGTTTGGGGTCACTTAGAAATGTCCTTGTTTTTTTGTCCATTAAAATAACATCAAATTGATCGGAAATACAGTGTAGACATTGTTAATGTTGTAAATGGCTGTTGTAGCTGGAAACGGCTGATTTGTAATGGAACATCTACATAGGCATGCAGAGGCCCATTATCAGCAACCATTAGTCATGTGTTCCAATGGCACGTTGTGTTTGCTAATCCACGTTTATCATTTTAAAAGGCTGATTGATCATTAGAAAACCCTTTTGCAAATATGTTAGCACAGCTGGAAACTGCTGTGCTGATTAAAGAAGCAATAAAACTCGCCTTCTTGAGACTAGTTGAGTATCTGGAGCATCAGCAATTGTGGTTTCGATTACAGGATCAAAATGGCCAAAAACAAATAACTTTCTTCTGAAACTCGTCAGTCTATTCTTGTTCTGAGAAATGAAGGCTATTCCATGCGAGAAATTGCCAAGAAACTGAAGATCTCGTACAATGCTGTGTACTACTCCCTTCACAGAACAGCACAAACTGGCTCTAACGAGAATAGAAAGAGGAGTGGGAGGCCCCGGTGCACAACTGAGCAAGAGGACAAATACATTAGAGTGTCTAGTTTGAGAAACAGACGCCTCACAGGTCCTCAACTGGCAGCTTCATTAAATAGTACCCGCAAACCATCAGTCTCAATGTCAACAGTGAAGAGGCGACTCCGGGATGCTGACCTAGGCAGAGTTGCAAAGTCCAGTGTCTGTGTTCTTTTGCCCATCTTAATCTTTTATTTTTATTGGCCAGTCTGAGATATGGCTTTTTCTTTGCAACAGGACTGATGGTTGCTGATAATGGGCCTCTGTACGCCTATGTAGATATTCCATTAAAAATCAGCCGTTTCCAGCTACAATAGCCATTTACAACATTAACAATGTCTATACTGTATTTCTGATCAATTTGATGTTATTTTAATGGACAAAAAAATTGCTTTTCTTTCGAAAACAAGGACATTTCTAAGTGACCCCAAACTTTTGAACGGTAGTGTATATGTGATGTATAGACATTATGGACAGTATGTGGATACGTAGGATAGAATAGTATATGTACAGCAATAGTTTAATTGTTAGTAACATAAGACTGGCTAGTGAATACTGATTATACAGTACTACACAATTGGAGGCCACTGTAATGCAATGTTTCAGCTAACCACCTTCATCATCATTGCTAACTACACTGTGATGGGGTTTCCCTCCAGGGTTCTTCATGGAGCCCACACTGTTTACAGACGTGGAGGATCACATGTTCATCGCCAAAGAGGAGTCCTTTGGCCCCATCATGGTGGTGTCCAAGTTCAAGGACGGGTACATCTCCTCAGTCTTTAGCGATAGAGCCTTTCCTCATCACAGACCCAAGTAATAGACCTGTTTGTGGTTCTCAACCCTGACCAACGTCCTTTTTCTCCCCTTCTGACCTTCAGTGACATAGATGGCGTGCTAAACAGAGCCAACGACACCGAGTTCGGCCTGGCATCCGGCGTGTTCACGCGTGACATCAACAAGGCCATGTACGTGAGCGAGAGGCTGGACGCCGGGACCGTGTTCGTCAACACTTACAACAAGACTGACGTTGCCTCGCCGTTCGGCGGTTTCAAACAGTCCGGCTTCGGCAAAGACCTTGGTGAGTCTGGGTTTAATCATGTAATAATTTAGGCAAGGGGTTTCATGTTGAATACTGTCATATTGGAATGTGGATTATATTGTATACTGATTTTTGTTGGTGGTCTGTCATAAATACATTTCCATTTAATTTTCCATTGTCTACCTTCCTTTTTCTTGAAGCATAGTCCAGAGTTCAAAGAGAATGGGCCTAGGAGCTTTGAATAGCCTTGTGAGCCCAACATGCTTGATTTGAGTTTGACTGATTAACTATGCTTCTGTTCTGTCGGCAGGAGAGGATGCTCTTAACGAATACCTCAGGACCAAAGCAGTGACTGTGGAGTACTGAGGCAGCCTGCCCCTCCTAATAAACTGTTACCACGACTGATCAATCAATCCACCTGATCACGACTCACCAGTCCGTCTCGATCGGGAGTCCAACTTCTGCTTTGCTAACAGCAGGTGTGTGAGAGAGTAGACATTTGATGTGTAGCCTACCCTCTGCCACGACCTCGTCTCAAGGTGCCTACAGTTTTTTGCATTCTGTTCGGGAACTTGCATTATGGACACATCATGGACACAGGCGGTTTTCCCCACAGTTACTAAAGGGAAATCGCACATATCAAACACAGAGGTGGATTTCAGTATTCCGGAACCAGAGCCAAGGTGGATTTGACTGGATCAACCCCCCTTTACTTCGAGTTTTCAAGGTTTCGGTTCCTCCACTCATCATGAAAGAACATTTAGCTTTTCAAAAGCTGAGCGCTTCAGGCAATCTCCTCCTGCTCTGTAGATGCTGTGTTTTTAGAATCTTATATCTGACCCCTTTTATTTACAGTCACACATTTTATGCAACATTTCATTTTAGCTCAAGCATGCAAGTTCAGATTTGTATGTCATTTCTGCTCAGCAATGTAAGGTGCCACACTTGTGCTGAAGATATCCACAACTCCCTTAGTTAAATTGGTGTTATTTGTAAATATTTCATAACAAAATAAAAAAACGAAATAATTTGATATATATTTGACGTATTCCTGTCAGTAAAGGAGCACTGTAGGTTACAACGCTAGATAATGCTTTTTTAAAGCACACCAACCTGATTTACATTTTTAAAGGGGCAATCAGCAGTTGAAACAATAACAAAGCGCACTACCTGCCCCTGTTTTGGTAAAAAAACTGAGGGATGGGGCTGGAGAAATGTAACTACTCTCAAATGTATAGATAGAGCTAAGGATGCAAGGACTGACCATCCATGACATCAACATTATAGTTTTAACCATGTTGAGGCTATATAGTTTACTTTGTTTACAGAAATTTGAGGAAAAAAAGCTTATATTTGGGGTTATGTGGTTAGACAGTTGAACTAAGCTCATGAAGCAGTTAAGGTATATTCTTCAAGAATCAATGGGTACATATTATTAATTTATAAGTCCAGAAATAGATGTAGAAACTGCAGATTGCCCCTTTAAGTTTAGTAAATATAATATATTAATTTAAATAAGATATTAAATACACTACCTTTGAAAGACTAGTGTTTATATGAATACAATGGCTAATACTAATAAAGTATACGTTCAAGAAGAATATCATATTTTCATTGTATGCACCATTGTCAATGAGCATTTTGAAAACTACAGGGAAATCTGGTCTCTATGAAGATGAGACTATGCTCCCCCAAACCTTGTGAAAAAATCAGCCCCAATACATACAGTATTGTTTGTCTTCAAACATAAATGTTGTACAATGGTGAATAAACTCTGTTCCTTCTTTTGAATTTGATTTCTTTCATATTCATCCAATGTCAGGGTCTATACTTCGATTTTTCCTTTTAAACATTAGCATTTTGGTGTATGCTATGTCATTCACAACCACACAACAATCTTGGATTTCATACACTTTTATTATGAAATACAGTACATGGTTTTGGTACTTTTTGTTTCAGGAAAAAATAAATCTGGGAAAAACTTAACAGCTCACAAAGCCTGTGACTAACCATAGCATAATTCTGGGACTAGGCATATTCATAAAACAAAGGAGACATATATAATAAAGCATTTGGTATTGAAGATTACAGGTGAGAACTTCAGTCAAACAGTTTTCTGCTTAAATACTTAAAATGTAGCCTTGATTATCTATGCTAGTGATAATAAATCATATTTAAAAATGTACAAACAATATGATCTATTGAAAATGGATTGAATACAGATAGCCTAAATGTCTTCTTTCTCTGCCATCAATCAACCATCAAGCCACTATGAACTTTAACCTTACAAGTATCCTAGGGTCATCAGATAAACAGGAAATTATATAAGGCACATTCTTACTGCACATGCTTGAGAAGGCACTCAAAGCTTTGTTCCCATCTCATTATGGCTCAAATAGCACTGAAACACTTGTTGACATGATATTTGGCCCTTATAGTACAGACACCCCTCTATGTAGACACCATTGTCCCCTTTATCCCTCACTGCAGCAGGTCTCCATCCACTGAACCACTGTGAATCCATTAGCCCTCCAGGACCATGTCCTCACTGACTCACGGTCAGTTTTTATTATTTCACTCATAATGGTTATGAAAAGGGCTTGGAGAAGGAGAACTGATCCCATGTCAGTTGATTAGTATTACCAACGCATGCCAATATTCTACACTGCAACTGTCCCAGTAGTCTCTTTAGAGGCCTATAACGGCCTAATCCTCTTGTTTCTCCAGGACTTGGATATTAACCTTATTTTTCTTCCTCTGGCTGTTGCCAGGCAGTTTGAGGTTCTCCTCTGTGAGCTCGCTCTCCTCTTCAGAGTCTGAGTTGGAGTCATTGTCCTGTGAATACTCTCTGTCCGAGTCGCTGTCTGAACTACTGAGCTCCACAAGCGACACATCCTGATAGAGAGACAAGGGAATCAATGTAATCATCAACGACATAACACAATTTTTATTCAATCAACATAATGGCCTCATTTGAGTGGTAAGCCGAAAGTCGGACACTGATGTGGTTTTCCAACAGCAAGACTCAGTGCAACATGGCAGTGTTCCCATTGTTTATATACGTTTTTCTTTACTATGTCAAAATAAACATGTCTCCAACCCCCATATCACACACTGAAAATATATGCGCACATTGTACAATCAATTGGTGAGAGAGACTCAAATATCACATTTACAGTGGGGGAAAAAAGTATTTAGTCAGCCACCAACTGTGCAAGTTCTCCCACTTAAAAAGATGAGAGGCCTGTAATTTTCATCATAGGTACACGTCAACTATGACAGATAAAATGAGAAATTTTTTTCCAGAAAATCACATTGTAGGATTTTTAATGATTTTATTTGCAAATTATGGTGGAAAATAAGTATTTGGTCACCTACAAACAAGCAAGATTTCTGGCTCTCACTGACCTGTAACTTCTTCTTTAAGAGGCTCCTCTGTCCTCCACTCGTTACCTGTATTAATGGCACCCGTTTGAACTTGTTATCAGTATAAAAGACACCTGTCCACAACCTCAAACAGTCACACTCCAAACTCCACTATGGCCAAGACCAAAGAGCTGTCAAAGGACACCAGATACAAAATTGTAGACTTGCACCAGGCTGGGAAGACTGAATCTGCAATAGGTAAGCAGCTTGGTATGAAGAAATCAACTGTGGGAGCAATTATTAGGAAATGGAAGACATACAAGACCACTGATAATCTCCCTCGATCTGGGGCTCCACGCAAGATCTCACCCCGTGGGGTCAAAATGATCACAAGAACGGTGAGCAAAAATCCCAGAACCACACGGGGGGACCTAGTGAATGACCTGCAGAGAGCTGGGACCAAAGTAACAAAGCTTACCATCAGTAACACACTACGCCGCCAGGGACTCAAATCCTGCAGTGACAGACGTGTCCCCCTGCTTAAGCCAGTACATGTCCAGGCCCGTCTGAAGTTTGCTAGAGTGCATTTGGATGATCCAGAAGAGGATTGGGAGAATGTCATATGGTCAGATGAAACCAAAATAGAACTTTTTGGTAAAAACTCAACTCGTCGTGTTTGGAGGACAAAGAATGCTGAGTTGCATCCAAAGAACACCATACCTACTGTGAAGCATGGGGGTGGAAACATCATGCTTTGGGGCTGTTTTTCTGCAAAGGGACCAGGACGACTGATCCGTGTAAAGGAAAGAATGAATGGGGCCATGTATCGTGAGATTTTGAGTGAAAACCTCCTTCCATCAGCAAGGGCATTGAAGATGAAACTTAGCTGGGTCTTTCAGCATGACAATGATCCCAAACACACCGCCCGGGCAACGAAGGAGTGGCTTCGTAAGAATCATTTCAAGGTCCTGGAGTGGCAGTATATAACAAAGTATTGAGAAACTTTTGTTATTGACCAAATACTTATTTTCCACCATAATTTGCAAATAAATTCATTACAAATCCTACAATGTGATTTTCTGGATTTTCTTTTCTCATTTTGTCTGTCATAGTTGACGTGTACCTATGATGAAAATTACAGGCCTCTCATCTTTTTAAGTGGGAGAACTTGCACAATTGGTGGCTGACTAAATACTTTTTTCCCCCCACTGTATTTGTACATATCCACTGTATACATGAATTACAGCAAAGTTGGTTCCTGTTTCAATCACGTCTGGTCACGTTCACGTGGGTCAAACAAAAACAACCTAATGATTGGTTGACAATAGAGCCTCCCACAATGCAGGCAATGGCTGCAGGATGAAGTTGGTGAAGAGCAACTGCAGAAACTTGTAGTCAAAACATGATCATATGATTTTTGTAAATTTCATGCAGTCGACATGTAGGTGCAAGTCGGACAATTTTTATCCCGATAATGCAACACACTTTGAAAGGCGGTGACCAACGATGGTCCCCGACTTCACAAAAGTATTCAGCTCGAACGTGCCCAATGTCTCACCTGCAGTTTAAGGATATAGTCAGCGATGTGCAAAGTAAACAGCAGAATCTGGCAGACTTCCGCAAAAACTAAGAGTGCGAAGCTAAACTTCACTACGGTTGTTGCCCTGAGAGCTATCATGTTGCAGCAGAATTACAAAAAACCCAGCTGTACACAAGCACATTGTCTTGTTGCACACTCATCTGCAGTTCATCCTGCTGCTTGTGGCAAGGTCATATCGCCAAGTCTCAGTTTAATTGAGCTGATGAAAACTAGAAGGGCCCTTTCTCTGCTCAGCTGTTCCACAATATGTAGCCTGAACAGCAGCTAGTGGTCGCTGTTTACCTGTCTTTTGGAGAGGGACCGTCAAAAGACAGATAAACAGCGACCACTAGCAGCTGTTCAGGCTACACAATATGATAGGCCTGCTCGTGGTGTTCTGACATCACACTTCCCCTGGCTATAATAATAATATGCCATTTAGCAGACGCTTTTAAAAGACAACTCACCATCTCTATGACCTTTCCAGCCTCCTCCACCCTCTCTATGTCATAATGGCCCTCAGGTGCCTGCTCCATCTGCAACTTGAGCTTCTCATTGGCCTGCGCCATCTGAGGCAGGAAGTTCTGCAGTCTGTCCAGAACTGAAACACAACATAACACACATACATACAACTGTAACTACACACGTAGCAATCTACTTAACATATTTAGCAAGCAATGCACACATTATGATGGGCAAGATCTACAAATAGCCACATCTCTGCCATGGTGCGCTGTTATTATTCTGTTTCTGTCAGGGTAATGACCAGAAACATAATAACAGCGCACCCTGGCGGAGATGTGGCTAATCTACAAACAAATGCTGGAAATGTTTTTAACTCACCACTACTTCTTGGGACCCTCTCGGTCTGCAAAGAACTGCCAGACTTGGGCCCCTTCGACTTGAGGAGAAGCTTGTCATGAAGACCTATGTACAAGGACACCGAAATGTTACATCTGACCACACTGATAGTATGAACACAACAGTGGATGCTGCTGAGGGGAGGTCGGCTCATAATAATGGCCAGAATGGTATCAAACACATGGTTTTTCAATTCCATACATTATTATGAGCCGTCCTCCCCTCAGCAGCCTCCACTTGAACACAATGTTGTTAAGATATATATATATTTTTTTTTATGTTAAGAGTTTGTGCATGTACCGTTAGCTAGGATAGCTAACAGGCTAAACAACTCCTCAGTCAAATCAGTTGATAAAAGCAGTTTCGGAAAAAGGATCAAACCTCCTCCGTTGCCACACGCGAGCAAGTCTTGTGAGCTTGTTTTCTTGATGTTCAAATTTAATTCCATTTTCGTCGTTGTATGATGATTTTTCTTCAACATGTGTGCTGGCGCTGTTTTTTGCTTGTTTCGGCAACGTGAGAATCTACTTCCGGTGTTATGAACGCCGACAACGTTTCAAAATAAAAGTCCATGACAAAGCCAAATCTTCATAAATGATATACATTTTCAACGAAGACCCAGAGATTTCAAGGGATACAGCTTTTGTCCGATTTGAGTTTTCGTAGCACGTTAGGAGAACTTTCGTAGCAGGTTAGGATAATTAACGTAGCAGGAATACGAGGATAAAAAAAAACACGTTTTATTGTCACATACACGGGATAGGTGCAGTGAAATGTGTTGTTTTTACACAGGGTCAGACATAGTAGTATGGTGCCCCTGGAGCAAATTAGGGTTAAGTGCCTTGCTCAAGGGCACAGCTACATATTTTTCACCTTGTCGGCTCGGCTATTCATGGGTTTGGATTTGGGTTACGGTTAGCTAAAATGCACACAAAAAAATCGACTTTTGACATTAATTTGACAAAAAAACTATTACATTCCCTCAAATTACATGGTAACAGAAAAGGTATCTGTACTTTAGAATAATATTATAATGCAATATTTGATGTATTAAATAACGTGGTCTGTCATCTTTGTATTTTATTAAGATTATTTAAGATTTTTATGTACGGTGGTTTTTTTATGTGTTCTTGACTGACTTGAATATTTATTTTCAATAAAAAAAACTATTTAAAAAAATTAAAATAAAGATTGTTTAGTTTAAAAACTCTCTGTTCCTGTTCTAATTTCATGGTCAAGATCATGACATTGATGGTACAATTAAATGATGTAGCTATAATTTAACAATTTGTCAACTCTTTTTTTGTTGTTAATTTTTTATTATATTAGACTCCAAATGATTGGTCACTACTGTCTGTAATGATCTATATCATGAAGACGCTTATTATAATGTGCTACATTGAATATTATTATTGACGGAACTGACATATTTTATTAAACCTATGATATTTTGTACAGCATCGGGAATGAGGGGTGCAATTTTTGCAAAGAAAGCTTTATGATGTTGTAAATAACATAAAAGGCAAACAAATCAAATAAAATGTATTTATAAAGTCCTTTTTACATCAGCAGATGTAACAAAGTGCTTATACAGAAACCCAGCCTAAAACCCCAAACAGCAAGCAATGCAGATGTAGAAGCACAGTGGCTAGGAAAAACTCCCTAGAAAGGCAGGAGCCTAGGAAGAAACCTAGAGAGGAACCAGGCTCTGAGGGGTGGCCAGTCCTCTTCTGGCTGTGCCGGGTTGAGATTATAAGAGTAAATGGCCATTAAGGCCAGATTGTTCTTCAAGATGTTCAAACGTCCATAGATGACCAGCAGGGTCAATTAATAATCACAGTGGTTATAGAGGGTGCAACAGGTTAACACCTCAGGAGTAAATATCAGTTGGCTTTTTATAGCCGAGCATTCAGAGGTCGAGACAGCAGGTGCGGTAGAGAGAAAGAGAGAAAGGGAGAGTCAAAAACAGCAGGTCCAGGAAAGGTAACACGTCCAGTGAACAGGCCAGGGTTCCATAGCCACAGGCAGAACAATTGAAACTGGAGCAGCAGCACGACCAGGTGGACTGTGGGCAGCCAGGAGTCATCAGGCCAGGTAGTCCTGAGGTATGGTCCTAGGGCTCAGGTCCTCCGGGAAGGGAGGGAGGGAGAGAGAGAATTACAGGGAGCATACTTAAATTCACACAGGACACAAGATAAGACAGGATAATTACACCAGATATAACAGACTGACCCTAGCCCCCTGGCACATAGACTATTGCAGCATAGATACTGGAGGCTGAGAGGGGGGGGGGGGGGGGGGGCCGTCCGACGATACCCCTGGACAGGGCCAACCAGGCAGGATATTACCCCACCCACTTGCCAAAGCACAGCCCCCACACCACCAACTTACTACCCTGAGACAAGGCTGAGAATAGCCCACGAAGATCTCCTCCACCGCATGAGCCCGAGGGGGCGCCAAAAAACAAGGGTGCGCAAACACAGCTTGTACATTATAAAGTAAAGTGCTCTGACATACGATCATATGATCCGAGGGATTATCAACAATGTCAGTGGGCGGTGGGCATAGATATCTTATTAAATTACTAGCGGGGCTATATGCTATGTCATAATCCTTCAAAATTCCAGAATGAAGTGAAAATGGCAGCCATATAATATAATAATATAATATGCCATTTAGCAGACGCTTTTATCCAAAGTGACTTACAGTCATTTTGGTCAGAGAGAAATCCAAACCAGTCTAATTGGAATGAATGGCAGTAGAGGCATAGGTGATGCATTTCCTGCTTTTACTTATGCAGGAAAATACAAGTAAGGCATGTAATATATCAGAAATTGTATAATAAAAATATTGTCACCCCAAAATATTGTTGTATAATTATAAATACAGTTATGAAGGTTTTATACACATTTTCTGTATAAATAGTCTCTAAAATATATGTAAACAGAACATACATGTCTAAAATGTTGCTTTCTTGGAAAGCTGTGAGTATTATTATATGACACAATATCAGTAGGCCTACTTGTTGCATTTACAATTTGTCTAAGTCCTATCAACTGATTTAGCTCAGTTGGTAGAGCATGGCCCTTGCAGCGTTCGATTCACAAGGGAGACCAGTACGAAATAAATTATTACAAATGTATACACTCACTACTGTAAGTAGTTCTGGACAAGAGCGTCTGCTAAATGACTAAAATGTAAACGTCATTTCAGCCAGTGTATGGCTGTGGATTGACTGCATTGTTTAAATGGAATGCTGGCATATTGGCAGTTAATAATAAAATAAAATAAATGGAATCATTCCTCTAAAACTTTCTGGCATTCCTCTAACAAACATACAGTGCAGATAAGCTTCAAATTCATTGTTTTACACAATATCTTATCACAGCACTGGCAAACCATGGTTGACTAACTCCCTTACCAAAATGGCTGACCTTACAGACCATCATAAGAAGGTTGATGGTGACGGGTGAGTCACGGATTTCCCAGCATGCACTGCAAATTGGTTCTTTTTTTTTTTATGGGAGGGATTCTCTAAGAGGCGTTGCCGCACTAGAAGCGAGTAGACTTTTTAACTCCACACCCAAGCAATATTTCATACAAACGCATTTGCAGGCACCTACAGTGAACTTCTTATCAATTTAGCCGGAATCTTTCATTATGGCAAACTACATTCATGTACCCGACGAGGCGCCCGCTGTACCCAAAATAGATGTCACATTAGACGAGAACGATTACAGATCTGGTGCATTGAGACTGATCAAGGAACTGAGACCGTTCTGGAAACCATCCGAGGTCAAAATGAAGGTATTACATTTGTCACATTCGACGTATTAATTTCTAATAAGTTTCTACGATTACCGTAGGTGACTAGACAGTCGTCATCGGTCACATACTGCCTACCAGGCAGCTATTACATTATTCTGAAACTGGAGGTGTTGCGCCTTTTTAAATAGAAGCTGCGTCAACTTGCTAGCTAGCAGCAGTGTAGCATTCAAGCCAGCCGATTGACGGATGAATCGAGGCAGTGGAATTCATAGCTAGGCCTCTTGTTTGACGTAGTTTGCATGATCTAGTAAGATCAGTAACTCACTGTACGTTCTGTGTCACATCAAGAGATTGCAACAAAGTATCTTATCAAATTCAAGGATATTATAGGCGTCGTCATGCACATAAAACAGACAACTGGCCAGCTGAAGTAGTTGACAAGTAACTAGTTATGCATTTGATCTGGTGCCAATTTTCTTATGCCATTGTAATATTAACAGTGCCATTCTACGATGGCAAGACTAGGTACAACTTCCAGGAATCGATGATCATGAGTAGGGGGACTGTTTGCCAAGTACCTTAACTCCAACACGAAACTGAGCACAGACTAGCTCTCGAAAACCCTTCAGCCACATTACATTCGCCCACATTTGGCCTACGTGTAAACTACAATTCCGACGCGGTGTTTTAACGTTTAGAAACGTCAATAACCATCGGTTTCGAAACATAATGATATGACCCCTTGTCTTTCATGTCAGAGAGAAATAAACTTTAAAATAAAACAGATAGCTACTTACTGTAGCAGTTTTGCACAGATCCATTCGCTGCGTGCCGTGCATCCAGTTGACGAACTACACTTCCTCTCCTGTTAGTTTCCACACAGGTGTTCGAAGCACGCTAGATAACTAATTAGCACAGGTGGCGGCCTATGTCTTCCGTAAACAAGCGCTGTAACATGGAGATATGGCCGTGTGGACACATTAAACCTATAAAGATGTGTAGTAATTTTTCTCTACACTATACAGTGCATTCGGAAAGTATTCAGACCACTTGACTTTTTCCACGTTTTGTTACATTGCAGCCTGATTCTAAAATTGATTAAATTATATTTTTCCCTCATCAATCTACACACAATACCCCATAATGACAAAGCGAAAATAGGTTTGTAATTTTTTTTGCAAATGTATTAAAAATAAAAACCAGAAATACCGTATTTACATAAGTATTCAGACCCTTTGCTATGAGACTCGAAATTGAGCTCCGGTGCATCCTGTTTCCATTGATCATCCTTGAGATGTTTCTACAACTTGATTGGAGTCCACCTGTGGAAATGTCAATTGATTGGACATTATTTGGGAAGGCACACACATGTCTATGTAAGGTCCCACAGTTGAACGTGCATGTCAAGCCATGAGGTTGAAATAATTGTCCGTAGAGCTCTGAGACAGGCTTGTGTCGCGGCACAGATCTGGGGAAGGGTACCAAAACATTTCAGCAGCATTGAAAGTCCCCAAGAACACAGTGGCCTCCATCATTCTTAAATGGAAGAAGTTTGGAACCACCAAGACTCTTCCTTGAGCTGGCCTCCCGGCCAAACTGAGCAATCAGGGGAGAAGGACCTTGTCAGGGAGGTGACCAAGAACCCGATGGTCACTCTGACAAGGCTCCAGAGTCCCTCTGTGGAGATGGTTGTCCTTCTGGAAGATTCTCCCATCTCTGCAGCACTCCACCAAACAGGCCTTTATGGTAGAGTGGCCAGACGGAAGCCACTCCTCAGTAAAAGGCACATGACAGCCCGCTTGGAGTTTGCCAAAAGGCACCTAAAGGACTCTCAAACCATGAGAAACGAGATTCTCTGGTCTGATGAAACCAAGATTGAACTCTTTAGCCTGAATGCCAAGCATCACTTCTGGAGGAAACCTGGCACCATCCCTACGGTGAAGCATGGTGGTGGCAGCATCATGCTGTGGGGATGTTTTTCAGCGGCAGGGACTGGGAGACTAGTCAGGATCCAAGGAAAGATGAACAGAGCAAAGTACAGAGAGATCCTTGATGAAAACCTGCTCCAGAGCGCTCTGGACCTCAGACTGGGGCAAAGGTTCACCTTCCAACAGGACAACGACCATAAGCACACAACCAAGACAATGCAGGAGTGGCTTTGAGTCTCTGAATGTCCTTGAGTGGCCCAGCCAGAGCCCGGACTTGAACCCGATCGAACATCTCTGGAGAGCCCTGAAAATAGCTGTTCAGCGACGCTCCCCTTCCAACCTGACAGAGCATGAGAGGATCTGCAGAGAAGAATGTGAGAAACTCCCCAAATACAGGTGTGCCAAGCTTGTAACGTCATACCCAAGAAGACTTGGTTGTAATCACTGCCAAAGGTGCTTCAACAAAGTACTGAGTAAAGGGTCAGAATACTTATGTAAATGTGATATTTCAGTTTTTTGTTTTGAATAAATGTGCATAAAAAATTAGCCTGTTTTTCCTTTGTCATTATGGGGTATTGTGTGTAGATTGATGGGGGAAAAAACAATTTAATCAGTTTTAGAATAAGTCTGTAACGTAACAATGTGGAAAAAGTTGAGGGGTCTGAATACTTTCCGAATTCACTTTACTTGCTTGTTTTGTCACAAACTGAAATTAAGTGAACTATTAGAATTTTAGCAGCCAGGAAATGGCGGAGAGAATTTCTGTATAGTTCACCTTTAAAGGAAAATGTCAATTTTTCCACTTCATATTCATCTCCAACCCCACCCCAACATCAACATATTTAAAAATATGATTTTAACCAATTATGAGTAGGCATTGTCTAGTAATTGGATGTCATTGGAAACACTTACCTTCGTGTGTGTGTTTTTTTTCTTACTACAAAACGTAGAAATGCACCATTTTCACATATGTGGATGTTGGGGTGATGATGAATATGAACTTGAACATTTTAAAAATGTCTGTTTTAAGTTTCACTTGAGGAACACTGCATTTGCATTCATTGCCACAACAGCGAATGTGCATGTGCCAATTGAATCTCAACAAGGGAAACAGTCGGTGGTTTTATTTTACTAATGTTTTATTAAAAAGTATGGATTTCAGCAAACTGAGAAAGGCACACATCAGAGGGCAAACATAGGTACACAGTAAGGGTTTAAGAGTTTTTAAATTGTTAAAGTATCGCCACATAACGAGTCGGAGGTTCATTAAAAAAAAAACTCTAGTCTGAGCTCAACTCCGTGGAGGAGTTGAGTTACTTGGCAAGGGGACCAGGGGAGGTTTGTAAAAGTCTGAATTTTTGCCTGGTTTGTTTTGTGCATAGTAACTGTTTTGGAGAGCTGTGGTCAGAAGGTAGGGGGTCCTCTGGAACTTTGAAACTCCCCCGGGGACATGTGCTAAGACTAATAATTCTTTTATTTATTGTTTTATCTTGAAGATATTATAATATCGTGTCATGAGGTCCTTGGCAATTCCCTGCCGAGTCACAAGGTGGTCCGAGTTTCTCCTGGGCTCTGTGGTTAAAGTTAGGCTAGTCTAAATGGTGAACACACTTTTGAGAATGAAAACATAGCTTAGATGGCAATTTGCATCAGGACATGGAATTTTCCATTAGTCATGTGGTTTGTTCCTGTCAAACCTTTACAAACCCAGCTCATGGAAACAAGTAGAACAAGTCTGTCATGTATGCTGATTGTAAAACCGAGGTGGTATGGTAAGACTTCGTGACCATACAGAAGTGGCACAATTTCAGTTTCCACCTCGTAAATAAAAACTGACGAACACCGAATGGGGGCGTGGTTTCTCTAGGGAAACACAGCTCTAGGGGGGTGTTGTGGGCAGGGTGGACACACACACACACACACACACACACACACACACACACACACACACACACACAACCACCCTGACTATTTTCATTCACAAAGCAAGGACTCAGCACATGCCAGCCATTGCTCGTTCCTGCAAAATAAAATTCCAGACGTGCCTCTACGCTCATGGTCAATCCCTGATAGTGTATGCGATTAGGGGTGGAATGCCTGGCCCCACAGAAATGTTCCAGTTTTCATTGGGGATGAAAACAACCGTTGGGTTTAAACCCACCCAGGCAATTCCTATTTTCCATCAATGCATTCTGGGGTCCTTTTGTTTTTCCATCAGATCCGAAATCAATTGACAACCTATAAAAGGAACCATAGAATTCAGTCCCAGGATGAAAGTACACTACAGTAGGTGGCAGAATACTGTTCGTGGATGGTAGAGGTCCATTCGTATTTAGAAATGGCCTCATCCGTAGTATTAATAGACAGATAAGAAAGATCTAGCCTACCTGACAGGAAGTCTACTGTACCTGTAGTATATGCAACCTATAGTAAATATGCTATATAATAGAAGCCTATAGGGTACCTATAGCCATCACTGTTATGAAAACCAGCATGACTGGACATAAGCCTATAAATATCTGAGTAAATTGTCATTTTATATATATATATATATATATATATATATATATATATATATATATATATATATATATATATATATATATATATATATATTACTGCTCAAAAAAATAAAGGGAACACTAAAATAACACATCCTAGATCTGAATGAATGAAATCATCTTATTAAATACTTTTTTCTTTACATAGTTGAATGTGCGGACAACAAAATCACACAAATTATAAATGGAAATCAAATTTATCAACCCATGGAGGACTGGATTTGGAGTCACCCTCAAAATTAAAGTGGAAAACCACACTACAGGCTGATCCAACTTTGATGTAATGTCCTTAAAACAAGTCAAAATGAGGCTCAGTAGTGTGTGTGGCCTCCACGTGCCTGTATGACCTCCCTACAATGCCTGGGCATGCTCCTGATGAGGTGGCGGATGGTCTCCTGAGGGATCTCCTCCCAGACCTGGACTAAAGCATCCGCCAACTCCTGGACAGTCTGTGGTGCAACGTGGCGTTGGTGGATGGAGCGAGACATGATGTCCCAGATGTGCTCAATTGGATTCATGTCTGGGGAACGGGCGGGCCAGTCCATAGCAACAATTCCTTCCTCTTGCAGGAACTGCTGACACACTCTAGCCACATGAGGTCTAGCATTGTCTTACATTAGGAGGAACCCAGGGCCAACTGCACCAGCATATGGTCTCACAAGGGGTCTGAGGATCTCATCTCGGTACCTAATGGCAGTCAGGCTACCTCTGGCGAGCACATGGAGGGCTGTGCGGCCCCCCAAAGAAATGCCACCCACACCATGACTGACCCACCGCCAAACCGGTCATGCTGGAGGATGTTGCAGGCAGCAGAACGTTCTCTACGGCGTCTCCAGACTCTGTCACGTCTGTCACATGCTCAGTGTGAACCTGTTTTCATCTGTGAAGAGCACAGGGCGCCAGTGGCGAATTTGCCAATCCTGGTGTTCTCTGGCAAATGCCAAACGTCCTGCACGGTGTTGGGCTGTAAGCACAACCCCCACCTGTGGACGTCGGGCCCTCATACCACCCTCATGGAGTCTGTTTCTGACCGTTTGAGCAGACACATGCACATTTGTGGCCTGCAGGGCTCTGGCAGTGCTCCTCCTGCTCCTCCTTGTACAAAGGTGGAGGTAGCAGTCCTGCTGCTGGGTTGTTGCCCTCCTACGGCCTCCTCCACATCTCCTGATGTACTGGCCTGTCTCCTGGTAGCACCTCCATGCTCTGGACACTACGCTGACAGACACAGCAAACCTTCTTGCCACAGCTCGCATTGATGTGCCATCCTGGATGAGCTGCACTACCTGAGCCACTTGTGTGGGTTGTAGACTCCGTCTCATGCTACCACTAGAGTGAAAGCACCGCCAGCATTCAAAAGTGACCAAAACATCAGCCAGGAAGCATAGGAACTGAGAAGTGGTCTGTGGTCACCACCTGCAAAACCAGTCCGTTATTGGGGGTGTCTTGCTAATTGCCTATAATTTCCATCAGTTGTCTATTCCATTTGCACAACAGCATGTGACATTTATTGTCAATCAGTGTTGCTTCCTAAGTGGACAGTTTGATTTCACAGAAGTGTGATTGACTTGGAGTTACATTGTGTTGTTTAAGTGTTCCCTTTATTTTTTTGAGCAGTGTATATCACACACACACACTCTACCGGTCAAAAGAACACCTACTCATTCAAGGGTTTTTCTTAATTTTTACTATTTTCTACATTGTAGAATAATAGTGAAGACATCAAAACTATGAAATAACACATGGAATCATGTAGTAACCAAAAAAGTGTTAAACAAATCAAAATATTTTAATTTTGAGATTCTTCAAATAGCCACCCTTTGTCTTGATGACAGCTTACCACACTCTTGGCATTCTCTCAAGCAGATTCATGAGGTAGTCACCTGGAATGCATTTCAATTAACAGGTGTGCCTTCTTAAAAGTTAAGTTCTAAAACTTTTGACCGGTAGTGTACATACATACATACATACAGTGCCTTCGGAAAGTATTCAGACCCCTTGACTTTTTCCACATTTTGTTACGTTACAGCCTTATTCTAAAATTGATTAAATTGTATTTTTTCCTCATATACACACACAATACCCCATAATGACAAAGCAAAAACAGGTTAAGAAATGTTTGTTAATTTATTGCAAATAAGAAACTGAAATATCACATTTACATAAGTATTCAGACCCTTTACTCAGTACTTTGTTGAAGCACCTTTGGCTGTGATTACAGCCTCAAGTCTTCTTGGGTATGACACTACAAGCTTGGCACACCTGTATTTGGGTAGTTCCTCCCATTCTTCTCTGCAGATCCTCTCAAGCTCTGTCATGTTGGATGGGGAGCGACGCTGCACAGCTATTTTCAGGTCTCTCCAGAGATGTTCGATCGGGCTCTGGCTGGGCCACTCAAGGACATTGAGACTTGTCCCGAAGCCACTCCTGCGTTGTCTTGGCTGTTTGCTTAGGGTTGTTGTCCTGTTGGAAGGTTTCGCCCTAGTCTGAGGTCCTGAGCGCTCTGGAGCAGGTTTTCATCAGGATCTCTCTGTACTTTGCTCCGTTAATCTTTCCCTAGATCCTGACTAGTCTCCCAGTCCCTGCCGTTGAAAAAGATCCCCACAGCATGATGCTGCCACCACCATGCTTCACCGTAGGGATGGTGCCAGGTTTCCTCCAGACATGACGCTTGACATTCAGGCCAAAGAGTTCAATCTTGGTTTCATCAGACCAGAGAATCTTGTTTCTCATGGTCTGAGAGTCCTTTCTGTGCCTTTTGGCAAACTCCAAGCGGGCTGTCACGTTCCTTTTACTGAGGAGTGGCTTCCATCTGGCCACTCTACCATAAATGCCTGATTGGTGGAGTGCTGCAGAGATGGTTGTCCTTCTGAAAGTTTCTCCTATCTCCACAGGGGAACTCTGGAGCTCTGTCAGAGTGACCCTGACCAAGGCCCTTCTCCCCCGAATGCTTAGTTTGGCTGGGCGGCCAGCTCTAGGAAGAGTCTTGGTGGTTCCAAACTTCTTCCATTTAAGAATGATGGAGGCCACTGTGTTCTTGGGGACCTTCAATGCTGCAGACATGTTTTGGTACCCTTCCACAGATCTGTGCCTCGACACAATCCTGTCTCAGAGCTCTACAGACAATTCCTTCGACCTCATGGCTTGGACCTCACCACAGGTGTGTGCCTTTCCAAAACCTGTCCAATCAATTGAATTTACCACAGGTGGACTCCAATCAAGTTCTAGAAACATCTCAAGGATGATCAATGGAAACAGGATGCACCTGAGCTCAATTTCAAGTCTCATAGCAATGGGTCTGAATGCTTATGTAAATAAGGTATTTCTGTTTTTTATTTTTAATAAATTTACAAACATTTCTAAAAACCTTGTTTTTTTTCTTCTAACCTGTTCTTTTTGTCATAATGGCGTATTGTGTTTAGATTGATGAGGAAAACAATGCATTTAATCCATTTGAGAATATGGCTGTAACGTAACAAAATGTGGAAAAAGGGAAGGGGTCTAAATACTTTCCGAATGCACTATATTTATTTTATACTGAGGCATTGGATGTGATGATGATGCTGCCAAATTGCGATAATTTGTCTACTAATCATCTCTTTTTCTCTCTCGATCAGTTCTTCACAGATGGAATCACCAATAAGTTGCTGGGCTGCTACGTGGGCGGGGTCATGCAGGATGTGGTCCTGGTCCGTATCTATGGCAACAAGACAGAGCTGTTTGTGGACCGGGAGAACGAGGTGAAGAGTTTCAGGACGCTCCACGCACACCGCTGCGCCCCACGTCTCTACTGTACCTTCAACAACGGCCTCTGCTATGAGTTCCTACAGGGCCAGGCACTGGAACCTGAACACATCCGCAGCCTGCCCACGTCCAGGTACAGCTACGCATATAGTTATCCCACCGTGTCGAGTACAACTTGTTGAAACAAGAGCACCCTTAGTCTAAATATTTGAGATAAACACACCCTCCCCCATTGCCAACCCTCTCTCCCCCCCTTAGAAAAAAGCAGAAACTCTGAGCTATCTTACCAGGCCCTAATCTTAGAAGAACTACACCCACACTACACATATAGTACTTTACATAGACCACACCTTTGAATTCATGTGTCAAGTCTACCCATTCTCAGGTGAAACCACAGTACACCTGCACTTCTTTACACTTTCCATAGCCTTCGACATTGTCATGTAAGGTGTGGTGCGTCTGTGTACTTGTATATGGGGGTGAGTCGGTAAGGAAACATAATGTGACTATTGTTCCCTTGGAGAACATTACTAGCAGTAGAAACACAGGACATAGATACAGTTACAGGTCAGGAGTTTGATTGAAAGCTGATCCTGGATCTATGGATACAGAACCATGCTTTAGCTAACCTGTTCTTTAGCTAAAGCCCAACCACTCCAGGGCTATGCATTCAGTTCACGTGTCCAATATCAGGGACACCGATGTACATAGACAAATATAGTCTCACCCTTAGGTGTAAACTCGCCTTAAACTCCATGAGATGAGTCTTGTGTTTTTCCTATGACCTGACATTCATTCAATTCTGGGATTCTTTACAAATATGGCCTCTAGTGTATAAGCCCATACTGAAGTAAGAGTTTTTTACAGTCTTGGCCTCTAGAATTTGGTCCCTCCTCTCAACTCCCTATCGCCAACTCACATCGCTTCCAACACCCTACAGGCTCATCGCGAGGCAGCTGGCTAAGTACCATGCCATCCATGCTCACAACGGATGGGTGCCCCAGTCAGACCTGTGGCTGACAATGGGCAAGTACTTCGCCCTGGTGCCCAAGTTCTTCCAAGACCCAGAGATGAACATGAGGTGAGTGGTGTAGATAAAGAAATGAACTGGGTCCCAATATCCAGACCTGCATGGTACGGAGTATGAAGGCCTGCGTTGGCGTGTTCATGCCATGCAAGCTGAATAGTATGCTAGTTGAGATATTGGGACGTAGTCGAGGTCTAGATAGGAGGACTGAGTTATCTTAGTAGGGACAAATGAAATCTGTTGGAGGTTTCTCATCAATACCCTTTAAAGTTATTATTGGTGCTTGAATATTTTGCCTCCACCCATTGCCTACTTTATGACTCATTAACGGGGCCAGGAGTTTTTCCAGGTCTGGTTACATAGTGATGAGGAATAACTCTGGGGCTCTAGTCTGGAATATTCCATTAGGAAGCTCTTGAATGGAACACTAGAGATGTATGAGAGAGGCTTGTCCTGTGACCTCTGGCATGACTGAGCGATTGCACAGTGAATGTCTGGCATTCCTCACATAGCTTCACCAGGTGTGTTTACCTGAAGAGGACGAGCCCCCTGTCACTCAGACCTCACCCACTGTTCATGAGCAATATGTACTGTACAGTTTTAGTTTGGTATGTTGACTGTTTTAATAAAGTCATGTGGATTTGAGATTATGCACTACGTTTGGAGTTTAAAGCCTTTACAAGACTCCTTTATGCAGTCGTAGTTTATTGATCTGAGATTAGGTGTTGATGAGTTTACTCTTGGGTGATGTCAGTTTTCTAGTAGATTCCAACCCTCTCCTTTTATTGATCCGAGATGGCACAATAATACTGTAACCTCTGAGATTGCGCAACACCTCTACTACTTTCCCTGTGTACTTCTGTAATGTGTAATCTCTCTCTGTCTCTTTCTCTCTTTCCTTCTTTCTTTCTCTCTCTACCTCCATCCCCAGGTTAAACAGTGAGGTGCCTAGTCGAAGGCGACTGAGAGAGGAGATGGTGTGGATGCAGCAGAGTCTGTCTGTGCTGGGCTCTCCTGTAGTCCTCTGCCACAATGACCTGCTGTGTAAGAACATAATCTATAATCAGCAAGGAGGTGAGTCCCACCCTGCACGCCCAAACATACTGCACCTAGCCACTATTGCACTGTCCACCACTACCAGTCACAGGTAGGCCTGATTTCATATACTGCACCAGAGTTTGGGGTCAATTCCATTTAAATTCAGTCCATTCAGGAAGTCGACTGAAATTCCAATTCTGATTTTCCACATTGAAGAGAAATTAGGGGAATTGGAAATGGAATTTTAGTTTAGTTCTGAAGTTAAAATAGAATTGAGGCACTGCACTACTGCTCTGCATGGCATTCTCCCAGTCACAAGCCACAAACCACAGGAAGGACTGACCATAGTGTTCAGTAGGTAAATAATTAGAGGGAACATTCTGAAACAGAAGGTATGAAATACCCAAACTTGTTAAATTGTCTTATTTTGCTTTCTGTGTCAGTATTTTCTCCTGTTTTGCTCAACGAAACAGGGCCTTGGCTTTAGTGCACCTTGTTTAGCCAACAACCATCACAGAGCCAACAGGCTTTGCCCGTCATGCTAGCTAAGGGTGGGAAGGGAGGGTGCTCCGTAGTCCATTTACATTTTCATCAATATGTATTTATTTGTGGTTCTTTGGGAATGCTATTTTGTTTGTGTTGTGAATGCCTTTGGTACTAACAGCCGCCCGTGTACAAAGAGGATGCACATAGAAATGGTCACTCAAACCAGACTCGTCAGGTGGCCAATGGTTGCAGAGGGAATGGTGGGTGTTTTTACCTGAGGGTGGAGGAGGAGAGCATTCTTACCTGAGGCTAAGGTGAGGGAGGGGGAGAGGGATTCAGCTGATTTATACCTGAGAAAAACATGGGAATGAGGGAGAGCGCTGTCTACCCCTTCGCTGATCTGTTCGGCGAGGGGCGGGGTGATCTCACAGCTCCTTGTGTCCAGCTTTTCTCTCCTAGGAGTGACAGGCGGGAGCGGCTGGCCAGCCAGAGGGAGTGCTGACAGACCCAGTTCAGAACACACCACTGTTCTACGCCTCAGCTCAGAGCAGCAGTAGGCGCTAACACACTCTCCTTTCACTCAGACAGTGACTGACCGCTCTGTGTTAGCTAGCTCACTGCACCATTTGCTCTTATTACTTTCACTCAGTGACTGATGGCTCTTGCAGTGCTAGCTCTTTACCATACTGTTATCCAACCCAGTGCTAGACCACACCTAGCTTATATGCTTACTTGGTGACAGGATAGCTCTTGTCTGTTTTATAAGAGGGAGAAGAAGGAAGCCTCAAGCTTCAGCAATAACAAAAAATCATCACCGAAAACAGAACTACAGTTAGTGTAGGGAGATCAAATATTTTGGCCCATTCCTCCATGCAGATCTCCTCTAGAGCAGTGATGTTTTGGGGCTGTCGCTGGGCAACACGGACTTTCAACTCCCGCCAAAGATTTTCTATGGGGTTGAGATCTGGAGACTGGCTAGGCCACTCCAGGACCTTGAAATGGTTCTTACGAAGCCACTCCTTCGTTGCCTGGGATCATTGTCATGCTGAAAGACCCAGCCACATTTCATCTTCAATGCCCTTGCTGATGGAAGGAGGTTTTCACTCAAAATCTCACGATACATGGCCCCATTCATTCTTTCCTTTACACGGATCAGTCGTCCTGGTCCCTTTGCAGAAAAACAGCCCCAAAGCATGATGTTTCCACCCCCATTTTTAGCTGATGCTCTTATCCAGAGCGACTTACAGTTAGTGCATACATTATTATTTTCATACTGGCCCCCCGTGGGAAACGAACCCACAACCCTGGCGTTGCAAACGCCATGCTATATCAACTGAGCTACCTCCCTGCCTGCCATTCCCTCCCCTACCCTGGACGACGCTGGGCCAATTGTGCGCCGCCCCATTGGTCTCCCGGTTGCGGCCGGCTACAGCAGAGCCTGGATTCGAACCAGGATCTCTAGTGGCACAGCTAGCACTGCGATGCAGTGCCTTAGACCACTGCGCCACTCGGGAGGCCTGTAACAGTAGGCCTGTAACAGTAGGTATGGTGTTCTTTGGATGCAACTCAGCATTATTTGTCCTCCAAACACGACGAGTTGAGTTTTTACCAAAAAGTTATATTTTGGTTTCATCTGACCATATGACATTCTCCCAATCCTCTTCTGGATCATCCAAATGCACTCTAGCAAACTTCAGACGGGCCTGGACATGTACTGGCTTAAGCAGAGGGACACGTCTGGCACTGCAGGATTTGAGTGCCTGGCGGCGTAGTGTGTTACTGATGGTAGACTTTGTTACTTTGGTCCCAGCTCTCTGCAGGTCATTCACTAGGTCCCCCCGTGTGGTTCTGGGATTTTTGCTCACCGTTCTTGTGATCATTTTGACCCCACGGGGTGAGATCTTGCGTGGAGCCCCAGATCGAGGGAGATTATCAGTGGTCTTGTATGTCTTCCATTGCTCCCACAGTTGATTTCTTCAAACCAAGCTGCTTACCTATTGCAGATTCAGTCTTCCCAGCCTGGTGCAGGTCTACAATTTTGTTTCTGGTGTCCTTTGACAGCTCTTTGGTCTTGGCCATAGTGGAGTTTGGAGTGTGACTGTTTGAGGTTGTGGACAGGTGTCTTTTATACTGATAACAAGTTCAAACAGGTGCCATTAATACAGGTAACGAGTGGAGGACAGAGGAGCCTCTTAAAGAAGAAGTTACAGGTCTGTGAGAGCCAGAAATCTTGCTTGTTTGTAGGTGACCAAATACTTATTTTCCACCATAATTTGCAAATAAATTCATTAAAAATCCTACAATGTGATTTTCAGGATTTTTTTCCCCAATAGCTCTTTTAACCACAATAGTCTCTCAGCGACAGTTCCATTACTGTCTCTCTGTGAGAGCAGAGGGAAGCCTCTTCCTTCCTTCCAACAATAACAAAACCGTTTACCCCCTGAAACTGACTAAAGTGAAAGGTTAGGGAAACTTTAAACTTATTGTAACTTCCCCTTATTTAAGATGATGTTTAAAAGAGTCATTTCAGTTCACCCAATAAGAGAGCAGGGTTGTTTGTCTCATTCAGCTGAACTGTCCTCCCTTTTTTCCCCAAGGCCTCATCCCTCTGTTTATCTTTCTGCTCTGTCAAGTCAGGTGATGAAGGGAGGGAGAGAAGTAGTCAAATTCTGCCCCAAGTCTCTGAGTGTCAAACCTGTGTTGCTTAGATTACAACAGGAAGCCATTCAATTCTCTCATTTGCATAGGATCAGGGAGGTGTCGTGCCATTGGGTCCCATGTGGACCAATCAGAATGCAGCTTTGAAGGGGCCTGTTGCGAAAAGGGGGGGGGAGTGTGAGCCCAAAGGAGAGGAGAGCGTTGGCAGTGGCAGTTTGTGTGACTGTGGTTGTGTGTGAATGTGTGAGAGAGAGTGTGTGTCTGTGTCTGTGTCTGTGTGTGTGTGTGATGGATGTGAGTTTGCCCAAACCTTTTCGTCTGCTGTACAGGGCTACTAGCCACTGACTGGAGGTGTTCTGTTGTGTCCCGCTAGAACCGCACGGCGTCCGGTAACCATCTCACGTGTCTTTACTAAGTCAACCCCAGAAACACACACCAAAACACTCACACACACACTGTATGTGAAACTGTACTGTGACAAACACACATCATTTGGAATTTAGGGTGCTTCAACAAGCACTCTTGAATATGACCTGCATAGTAAATCAAATGCTTAAATAAAGACCCTAAAGCATTTGAATGGGTTTTTTTTTTTGTCAGGGAGAGCGCTAAAACAGCTCTTGTAGTTAGATTTGGGGGTAAGGCTTTGCATGTTGATGTCACCTCATGCAGTACTGTTTCTTCACTAGAGGGCAGTGTTGCATCTCTTTACCTCCAACGCCACATTCCTTCTGCATGGTCCCTCTTTTTCCATCTTTCCACCACAATCTCTTTCTCAACACATTACCTTTCACCCAATCAATTCCACTGCAAGTTCCACAACTGCATGTGAATCAAACTAACCAAATATAAACTTGCCGTGGAAAGTAATATAGACGTTCTTACTTTTTTAAATTACACATTTTGACTTCTCTTTCATATTCCTCTGTATTTAATTAATTACAACATATCTCACTAACCAAACAACAACAAAAACTAAACATGTAAAAACGACACAACATTATTCCTCTGTATATAATAGTGTCTGTGTAAGCTAATTTGTTTGTGAAGCCAATCAGGTGATTTCCTGGAAGAAGTTGATAATGGACTACTGTTTGTCTATGGAATTGGATAATCCAATCCATTTTCCAATCACATGACTGGCTCCTGTAGCTTATATTGGGATTGGGATCACCCCACTCTTATATAATGGCAGAAAACATGGAAGTGAAACCGAGAAGAAGAACATAAAATCAATCTCTTTGAAAATATCCGTTCTCAACTTTTTCCAGAGCACTTTCAAATTCAAACTGGTTGAAAGCTGGTCCTAGATCTAAATGTAATTTTTTTTAGCCAACTCCTCTAACTCGTCTGACTGTTATATAACATGACAACCACTGTCATGACAACGCTATACAGAGGAATCGGCTAAAGCACATACACCTGTTTGGGACCAGGCGAACTGCATGTCTGAATCAATTAGGCCTATATGTCTGTCTATCTCTATCAACTTTGTATGTCTGTCTATCTGTATCAACTTTCTTGTCTTCATTTTCTCGAAACATTCTCATCTGTGCCTCACTTCCCTTCAAAATGCAAACTCTTACTCCTCAACCCCAGAGGCCTACAGTATTTATAGTAGGCTGTCAGTCAGGCATCAGAACCACTTAGACTAGAGACAGGGATGATAATGGGTTAATAATGCACAGCTTTATCATTTATAATGTGACTGGTCTCTGTCCTGTTCTAAACAAACCTTCCTCTCTGCTCCTTTCAGAAAATGTGAAGTTCATTGACTACGAATACGCTGGGTACAATTACCAAGCCTATGACATTGGGAACCACTTCAATGAATTTGCAGGTAAGAGAGTGTGTGTTTTGGGTCACGTTGCCAAGTGCGAATGGTCATTGGTCATTTTACTAAGTGCTGCGTGTATGTGTTGTGGTCCCCTGTAGCTCACTTGGTAGAGTATGTCGCTTGCAATGCCAGGATAGTTGGTTCAATTCCCAGGGACGAAAAATTTATGCACGCATGACTGCTTTGGATACAAGCATCTGCTAAATGACATATTATATTATGGTCAGTGTGTTAAGCGTGTGTTTGGTCATTGTACTAAGCATATCTGTGTTTTAACCTTTTACTTAGCATGTGTATGTGTGTCCTGTTAGGTCTGAATGAGGTGGACTACAGCCACTACCCAGAGCGGAGCTTGCAGCTGCAGTGGCTGCGCTCGTACCTGGAGGCCTATAAGGAACACAAAGGTCAAGGGTCAGAGGTCACTGAGACAGAGGTGGAGGTGCTCTATGTACAGGTCAACCGCTTCTCCCTGGTGAGTTCATTCTCCTTTCTTTTTGTTTTGTGGTTAATTTGTGGTTTACGCCCAAGACAAAGTTGTCACATTTTTATTTGAGCTTTGTTTACAAGATTAAGTATACAAGATTAAGTATTAGACCGATGTTCAGTGAGACTTTGAGACAGGGAAATCAGTCAGTAGTGTTCCTAGGTAAAGTTGAAAGGCTCTTTTGAGGCTTTTCACAAGGAGATCTTCAATGCCAGTCATCTGTCTGTTTGAATGTTCTCAGTTCATCATCTTCAACTCAACTCTTTCTTCATCCCCTCTGCTCTTCTCCGCTCACTTCTTTCAGAGAAACAACAAAATGTACCCAAAACAAATCAATTGCACAAGAATGTGTGTTGTTCGGGTGAATCGCTGAAGGTTAATTGGTTGGTCCTTTAATCAATAGTTAGGGCAGTGTAGTCTTGTGTTGAACTGTCAACCGGTACCTAGCAGAAATGGTTGTTTCCCTGAACACATAGACACATCTAGAAGGTATGTCCCCTGGGAATCCAAAGGCAGAGGAGTACTTTGAAATAAACACTTAGTAGACCTGCAAATGAGACAAACAAAGCAGGAGAAATAGCTTTGTAAATATTTCTAATTGACCGTCTGACTGTTTGCTGTTCAACAGAAGTGCAGTCATGGTAATTCATCAGAGTACTTTACACTACAGTTTAGCTGAAGAAAGTTCCAAAGCATTTGAATAGCAATAGAAGCGTAACACTGCTTTCAAAGATCAAAGGATGGACCATATTCAACAAATGTATACAATGTCACATAGAGAGAAGTGACCTTGCAAACCTATTGAAAACGAATGAGAAGAGTTATGCCTTGTTATAGACAATAAGAGTCCCTGGGGGTATATTAGCCATGCATTAGCTATACATAGGGGTATGTTCTGCTAATCCATAGGTTAAACATGGCAACAGAAGCTTGCTGTACCTGTTTTTGAAGTAGGGAGACTATATAGCAGCCTCCTTGGAGATTTCCAGGACAATCTAGAATTCTCATTTTGTACAGTCAACCGTAGCACCCAACAATCCCAACACCACCTGAGACTCGCCCTACCTCCTCCTTTGGTAACTACACTCACGTGTGTTTACTGTAGATAGAAGTGGTAGCCTTGGATTTCGGTCTGTTTCCGCTGTGGACAACTCCTTTGTTGGTTGTTACTATGGGCTTTGTCATGTTTGGCGTGACAATGGTGTTGGTTAAAGACTTCCATTCCGATCAGGACAATGAACACTGACCCACATTCAATAATATGACTATCCCCCATTTCTTTCTCTCTCCCTATCTCCTTCTCCCTCTCTCCAGGCATCTCATTTCTTCTGGGGCCTGTGGGCTCTGATTCAGGCAGAGTTTTCCACCATTGATTTTGACTTCCTGGGGTAAGTGGCTTCAAAAATATAGGTTTTATCCAGAGACAAGTCGAGAGTTTGGTACTATAAAGTTATATCTGCAAAAAGATGATTCTGAGATAATTGGCTTTAGAGTTCCGATCCCTCATTGGTGTGAATGGTGTCAGCAATTTGTATATTGTAATCTTTTCAGCTTAACAACATGAATTGGGGTATTTAGAGTGCCATATAGGTAGAGAACATTGAACAAAACAAGACTTTGTCAGTAACTCAAATGTTTTTATATTATATACTTTTTCTCCCCAATTTCGAACTTGTCTCTTCGCTGCAACTCCCCAACGGGCTCGGGAGGCGAAGGTCGAGTCATGCGTCCTCTGAAACATGACACGTCAAACCGCGCTTCTTAACACCCGCCCGCTTAACCTGGAAGCCAGCCGCACCAATGTGTCGGAGGAAACACCATTCAACTGATGACAGAGGTCAGCCTGCAGGCGCCCGGCCCGCCACAAGGAGTCGCTAGAGCGTGATAAGCCGAGTAAAGCCCCCCCCAAGCCAAACCCTCTCCTAACCCAGACGACACTGGGCCAATTGTGTGCTGCCCTATGGGACTCCCAATCACGGCCGGTTGTGACACAGTCCAGGATCGAACCCAGGTCTGTAGTGACGCCCCTAGAACTGCGATGCAGTGCCTTAGACCGCTACGCCATTTGGGAGGCCCAAGTAACTCAATTTTGACACAAATGCAGATAGAACCTTATAGTCCCAAGCTCTCGAAGACATGACATTACAGCCATAGCAGATATAACATATTTATAGATTCTGTAATAATGTAAATTGTTGAGTACTTTGTCTTCACTCTGAAGGCCTACTTATGAGCTATTGATATTATGCCCTGACACTGCATCTTGCTTTCTTATGATGTATTGTCACTGACTTGATATCTTGTTACTAAAGTGACGTACATTTGCTCACTCGTTTCAGATACGCAGTCCTTCGCTTCAGCCAGTACTTCAAGATGAAGCCAGAGGTTGCAGCACTGAACTTTCCAGAATAAAAGTCCTCCTCCCTACCTGGTCCTCATGTCCACCGTAGAGTGCCCTCTAGGGGGTGTCGTAAAGAAGACCTGGAGAGAGCCCAGCCCACGCTTCCTGTGGATTTCATTCGGCACTCACTAGAGACTCATAGAACCCTATGGGAACTTATAGAACCCTTTTGAGAACTCATAGCTGTTAGAAACCATGACTCGCCATCCATTAACACTCCACAGGGCCAAATCCATAGAGTCATATAGAAGCCTAGAACCATGCACTTCTTCATAAAGACTAAAGTCTTTAAGACCCAGTCCTCCAAAATGTCCAAATATGCAAGAAAAAAATGAAGAAAACTATCATGGCTATTTTTGTTAAGAACAACCAAATGAAAACAGTGCCATGTAAAATATGGTGAATTCAGTGTGAAATTCCAGTAGCATCTCTCACCCCAGTCTGTGCCCGCCCATAGGGGTAGCTCGCAACAGGGGAGACCTAGACCAACTCTGTAACTTGTCTCCTGTGTTGTGCTGCTGACTGACTGAATATTAGTGTGTGTGGGCTCACTCAGAGCCATTCATATTGGATATATACATCTCTTGTCTGGGCTCACTGGTCCACTGATTATTTAGTCACCAGTATATCTGTTGGTTTAATGGTAGGCTATATAATAAGTTACCAATATGTGTTGGTGCACTTGTGGTAGTCACCAATATATATTTGTTGGTCGATTGGTTAGATTACTTAGGTAGTGTCTCCTAGGTAATTCATTCTGTTCCCCTGTGTGAAGCGACGTCCACTTCCCTACCGTAACTAGGCTGTAGTTTGATTCATGGGAAATGTGTCATCATGACGACGGCCAGGACTATTTCCTGACCATTTCCTGGAAAAACTCTGACCAGGAGAAACTCTGGGCCTGGGGCCTTGTGGTCAGGAAACCCTCCAAGCCCTAGTCATGACAGTGCTATGTTCACTGTATAAAGTCATTTAGATTCACTTTTTGATTTATCATGTAACCTCATGGGGCAATTGCATTTGGCTAGACACGGCCTAGTCCTGGACTAAAATACAGGCACTTTCAATGGAGAGTTGATGTTCAATGGAGTCACCATTGAAAGTCATTTTTAGTCAAGAAGTATAGGCTTAAGCTGGTTTAGTGTTGCCTGGCTACCCTTCCACCTCGCTCCGGCCAACTGACGTTTCTTCTCAATGATGAGTCTGGATTTGCCTCCCTCCCTGATGATTTCTAGAATGCGAACACATTCTGACCAATCTGATTGGTCCCAGAAACTGATGGGTTGGGCCAGAGCCGGCCTACATGGATGACGTTATCAACTTTGAAACTATGGTTAGATTTTTTTTTGGGACTATCCAATCGCTGATTAATTTGTTTTGTAAAACGCCCCTCATTTTGAAGTCACACAAACAACTTCTAGAATGGCAGTTTCAGACTGAATGTATGTAGCGATTGCTAGAGCAGCGTAATTAAATTCAGGGTGAGTTGTCTGACAAGGTTTAGTGCAACTGGCTGTGAGACAACTGAGAGTAAGACCTATGATTGGAGGACCAACGGCTTTGGTAGTGAGTGTCTTTGAAAGACTTCTCTTTATCTGAAAGAGTCTCTCTGTAACAGTATAGTTCTTCATCTGTTTATAAAGTATGCGCTGCTTGGTTCCATGAGTTCTTTACGAAAAAAAGTTCATCTAATAGGTCAAAACCAACCTACACCAAAGTGCTGATATTTTTTGCTTGTACATAATTGCACATTGTATTTTTCCGTTTAGAAATAATAATATTGATGTATAATATTTACTTTTTAAAAAGTACAGTTTTTATACCTATTTAAGTGATGAACTGTTTTCTGACTGGGAGGTCTTGGAGAGTATGTTAGGAGTGTGTTAAAACAGCTTCAACGTTAGTCAGGGTTGGTCTGTGCGGTCACTGTACAGACGCCTGGATGAAGAGACCACTTGATAGGCTGCTGAAATAGCACCATATTCCCTACATAGTGCACTACTTTATAGGGCTCTGGTCAAAAATAGTCCAGTGTACAGAGAATAGGGTGCCATTTCAGATGCAGCCATAGACTGTATTTTCCATTCATACTCTACACCCCCATGCCCAACGGTATTAGTCTGCAGACTTGCAGCTGGGTCCTATGGGGTGCTAGCACCTTTGAGAACCGTATTTCAGGAACCGGCTGCGAGTCTGCAGCCCGACGCCTCTCCCCATACCCTACTGTTGCTCTTGATCTGTGTAGCCATCTGCATGTAAACTTAACCCCATCTACTGTAGCAAAGAAACAACAAACTGGGAAGTCAGCCAGGCACTACGGTATATGCCTGTCTTAACGCTGTTCACTTTTTGTTTTGAGCTTGCCTTTCTTTTGATGTGGTTTTATTTAATGGTAATCAACATGTCTGGGTCTATGACTGCAGTGTCAGAGCTGGTAGGTCTATCTTCCTTCACTGGGAAATGGAGGACGGGTAAGAAATCGGTTGTTGTTGATCAGATCCTAACTTGAGAGATGTTGCGCGCTAAGTTACTCAACTTTTGTGAAAGTTCTCTGACATCAGTGCATGGATTTATGAAAAGGTTTGTCTGAAGTTATGGTTGCGTCCTTTAGAATCATGAATCATGTTTGTGTGTTGTCCTCTTTTCTGCAGACCTTGTCATGTTTTTAACCACACATGGTCCACATAATACTGACATACTGTCAAATTGTACAGCTATAGCGTACATGTGTCCGCTATGTTAAAAATGAATTATGAAAACACTCTGTAACGCAAGTCTGTTTCCCTGTTGAGTTTCATTCTGAAATGAACACAAGACCACTGTAAAAAGCGACAACACTTTCAGCTTACTCAATACTGGTCTGCTTCTCTAAAACTTGTATAAATGCGCTTTATTTCTTCTCTGGCATTTGTAGCATATGTGTATATGTACATTTCAAAATCAAATGTATTATCTTTGCTTGAACTGTCAAATGTGAATGAATGTACATAGAGGCAGTTTTTTTTCTAAACATTGCTCTAACATCAAAAAGTAGTCTTTGTTTAACTGTGAAATCTAACTTTTGAATACTGTACACAAGTTTATTGAAAGGAGATTAAAGTATATTACCCAATCCTGTTTCTTTTTTTAAAATGCCCCTCTGTTAACATTCCTTCTGTATTTCTCGAGGGATCAGGCTGTTTGATTTTGATTGACATTACTCCGAGCCAGAAGTATTTGCCTGTTAACCACAGACCTACCACGAGGTTACCAGGAGATGGCGCCAAACATATGATCAAATGAAAGGCCAAGCGTTGTTGCACTGTACAGGTAACTGCCAAAAGAAAGGAAACACTTGAGTAAATGAGGGATCTAAAGTGTGGCTCAGTTGGAAGAGCATGGTGCTTGCAGCGCCAGGGTTGTGTGTTCTGTTCCCACGGGGACCAGTATGAAAAATGGATGCACTCGCTACTGTAAGTCTCTGGATAAGAGCCTCTGCTAAATTACTAAATGTTAAAGTACAGTGTATGTAGAAAGCAGGTGCTTCCACACAGGTGTGGTTCCTGAGTTAATTAAGCAATTAACATCCCATCATGTTTAAAAATGCCCAGTTTACCATTATTTTGGCAACCATGGCTCAAAGAAGAGTTCTCAGTGACTAAAAGAGGGGTCTCAAAGGAGCATAGGGGATTGCGTGTGTGTGACCAGATCTCAACCCAATTGGGAGATTCTGGACTGGCGCCTGAGACAATTTTCCACCACCAACAAAACACCAAATGGAATTTATTGTGGAAGAATGTTGCATCCCTCCAATAGAGTTCCAGATACTTGTAGAATCTCTGCCAAGGCGCATTGAAGCTGTTCTGGCAACTCCCTACTAAGACACTTTGTTGGTGTTTCCTATGGCATAAGGGGACGATGAGCGGATAAAAGGCAATCCGTAATTTCGATGAAGACATTAATGAGCGAGCTAGGACGGACGTAGTCAATATAACTATTTGTTCAGCACTTTTGAAATGTACAGGGACAGAATTCAGAACATGGGCCGTTCTTACACCAAGTCAGAACCATAGGATAAATAAAGAGGGCATATAAGCAGACAATGAAAGCTCTTACAGTATTCAATGATTACGTTTCTCTAAAACAGGCTATGTGTACCACCAAGTCAGAACAATAGGCTAAATTATGAGGGGGGAAAGGGACCATTCTAAAATGGATTAAGTTAATTGTTTTCTTATTCTAAAATGGATTAAGTTAATTGTTTTCCTCATCAATCTACACACCTGTCTATATAAGGTCCAACACTTGACAGTGCATGTCAGAGAAAAACACAAGCAATGAGGTCAAAGGAATTGTCCGTAGAGCTCCGAGACAGGATTGTGTCGAGGCACAGATCTGGGGAAGGGTACCAAAAAATGTCTGCCACATTGAAGGTCCCCAAGAACACAGTGGCCTCCATCATTCTTAAATGGAAGAAGTTTGGAACCACCAAGACTCTTCCTAGAGCTGGCCGCCCGGCCAAACTGAACCCAATGGTCACTCTGACAGAGCTCCATAGTTCCTCTGTGGAAATGGGAGAACCTTCCAGAAGGGTAACCATCTCTGCAGCACTCCATCAATCAGGCCTTAATGGTAGAGTGGACAGATGGAAGCCACTCCTCTGTAAAAGGCACATGACAACCTGCTTGGAGTTTGCCAAAAGGCACCTAAAGTACTCAGACCATGAGAAACAAGATTCTCTGGTCTGATGAAACCAAGATTGAACTCTTTGGCCTGAATGTCAAGCGTCACGTCTGGAGAAAACCTGGCACCATCCCTACGGTAAAGCATGGTGGCGCTTCAACAAAGTACTGAGTAAAGGGTCTGAATATTTATGTAAATGTGATATTTCAGTTTTTCTAAAAACCTGTGTTTGCTTTGTCATTATGGTGTATTGTGTGTAGATTGATGAGGGGGGGATGTAATCCATTTTAGAAAAAGGCTGTAATGTAACAAATGTGGAAAAAGTCAAGGGGTCAGAATTATTTCCGAATGCACTGTATCCCCCTGGCATATTACATCATTTATGCAGCAGCATACAATACATTTTTGGCGGTCCTTGTGGGCAAATCAAAGTCTGGCATTCTCTGGATTTATGGTGCTTTCAAGACATCAGTGATCTTCAGGTCGGAGCTCTAGAAAGACGCCCAAGTTCCCGACTTGGAATTCGAGATGTATGACCGTTCAAAACGTATTTTCCCAGTCGGAGCTCGTTTTCGTCCGAGTTCCCAGTTGTCTTGAACTCACTGAAGTCTGAGATTTCCCAGTTCCGAGTTTCCAGTTGTTTTGAATGCGCCACAAGTCATGCTGGATTGACAGCATGACCAATGTATTCAACCTTTTCTGGCCGATGGTGTTGAATGTTTATCCTTTTGAGCTTGGAAAAGAGACCCTTAAACCCAGACTTGGACCACACTCCCACTCCACTGAATAGCAGGCTAGTGATTGCTTTGCAACGCTTGCAGTTAGCCACTGATTCCTTCCAAACCACTCATTGTTGAATTTGCGATTTCTAACTTGTGTAATGTTTATGTCCAATGGCCGATGAGCACCGATACGTTTTATCTATAATTTCTCTTAATTTGACAAGGATGAAAAGGATTTGCCAGTAGATTGTCAATGTGATTCATGACTGCTTGTCTAGCTTTCTAGCTAAGATTTTGAAAGTATGATGTTGACATCAGTCCAATCAAAGCTACGGTAGATATAACGTGATTTGACGTAATTTTATCTGTGGCCAATGACCTTGAGCCTTCTTGGATGGGCACTTCTAATGCAAATCTATGGCAGCACACAAGGGGCTTGAATTTTCGAGCTCGCCCCTTAGATTTTGCGGTGACATAGTGTCCCCATGAGTGACAGAACACGGAGCCAATCACGGCGCAACTAGAGAACATTACCAACCCCTATGCTCTGTATTTTTCGCTGGCTGCCCCACCACAGAAAGCACTGAGCTAGGCTGAAACACCTGCATTTTGGAGCCGCCTTCCTCAAGAAAGCAAAAAAAGAGACCATGTTTGAATGCAGCTTTATTAACTCTGATTATTTTTATATTGTCTGCAAACTGATATGTGACACGTATTAATACCAAAATAACATGCAAAAATATATAGGTGGGGCTCAGCCTCACCTGCCCTGCATGACGGGTCGCCACCTGATCCCTCTGTCCTTGAAGCAAAGACAAAGGCAGTTGAGAAATATGCATCTTATTCCAGAGCTATAGGCCTCTTCAGAATGACTCTGGGAGGGAGGCTATATAGCGTTGTGGAAATGCACACAATATTTTCTAACAATCCTTTTGAGAGCAGCCAGGCAGATCATGTCTTCAGCTCTTGTCTTAATGTGAGCAGCAATTTCAGAGTTAAACAATTGCTCCAGCTCTGTGAGATTCATTTAACTCCACATCCCTCCAGCTATTTCCTACCACATTTACACATTCATTATGGATTCAATATCTGCTAGTCAACTTGTTTTCATTTCACACAAAGGTCAACGTACAATAACCACTTCCAGCTGTAACTATCTTGGAGTGTGAGAGATACCAGAAGTAATCCCAGTGCAATTAAACAGACTGAAACACTCAGGGCATACAGTACAAGTGTGTTAATATGTCAAACATGTGATATACAGTGCCTTGCAAATGTATTCATCCCCCTTGGCGTTTTTCCTATTTTGTCGCATTACAACCTGTAATTTAAATTGACTTTTATTTGGATTTCATATAATGGACATACACAAAATAGTCCAAATTGGTGAAGTGAAATGAAAAAAAAACTTGTTTAAAAAAATTATACAAAATAAATAACGGAAAAGTGGTGCGTGCATATGTATTCACCCCCTTTGCTATGAAGCCCCTAAATGTGCTAGATGTGCCAAGCTGATAGTGACATACCCCAGGAGACTTGCAGCTGTAATTGCTGCAAAAGGTGGCTCTACAAAGTATTGACTTGGGGGGGTGAATAGTTATGCATGTTCAAGTTCTGTTT